GTACCAAAGGTCCCTGCCAAAGAAACTGATTGGGGTTCCCCAACAGACCTGTCCTCTCCAAGTAGTTCAGATTAAACTGACTTGTAATTGCTAGATCGAGGAACATTTTTCGTTATTTTCAACGAGTAAGAAGAATCAACACTTATTCGCAATAGCAATTCGTAATTTGAATATTCCCTTTGTTAAAAGAAGGCTGCCGATATATGTACTCACATACTACAACTACTACTACATCTACATCATCTGCCACAACTACTTCCACTTTATCACATATTGTTACAAGTATCAACCAATATTGAACTCTTGAATTAGTTCCAACGGTCTCGTAGGAAGCTTACAAAGGACACACTGGGAGACTAATTCGTCTTTCACGAAACAGTGCCTGAACAGTTCTACATTCTTTGATCACGGTTGGGAATTACCTAGCACGAATACACAGAAACGTTGATGGTGATCTTTTCGTCTTCATCTTCAGAGCTGGACTTCATGCCCCCATGCAAATTTTCACGTTACGACTCATCCTGTCAAACAAACGGAGAACTGCACAGCCATACTAGCAACACGATCTCTGCCTCCCAGTGAAAGTCTACAGCAGTTTATGGTTTTACATCAGTATCTATTTGACACAGCTTTATAATAATTATTTCAGTGAATGAAAGCAACAACTTCTGAAATGTACCCCCCCCCCCCCCCCTCCCGCCAGGTGTCACTGTACCTGATGTATGTATCACTGAACTGTGGCTGATGTCCTCAGGTTGTTCTTGACAGACCTTTCTTATGTACTCATGGCATGCGATCTGTTACTACAAAACATGTCATTGTACACACGTTACGCCTACATGTCAGCTCTCCCTTTCAACAACTTTATTCATCGTTACAGCTGTTTATCATATGGCTGTTAGTGTAAGCATCACGTGTACTAAATGAAGTTGTTTATACTTAATGTAGCCTCGTGGTTTATAGTAATACCTGTAGGAAAAAACGCGAAATTGCCTATAGTCCAAATATACGTACTTCAATGCCCAAGGAGAAGAGAAAAGATCCTGTATTACTATCGTATAACTATTATCTCAGAGCCAAAGGCAGAGTGTCCAGCACTGCATGTCCTCGTGGTTTGGTAGACTGTCAGTTTTACCTGAGGTCATGGCGATGCATACTATAGCAATGACCCCTAAAAGTATGATCTACCAGATGCATCTACCAGATTCCAGATAGTTGTGGACAACAGTACATCGGGGAAACGCTGCGACCTATCAACACAAGACTCAAGGAACACCAAGCATCCGTTATTCACAATAAAGAAGTTGACATCCATTAATCTTTCTTTTCTTACTATCGTACAGCCACTAGCATGTATACCATCTCTGCACACATATAGTAAAATTACCGCACATAAATATGTATACTTATTATTACATATCAAACGTTGTCTGTATTGAATGCTGTCCGCTGAATGCTGGGCCCTTACACAGGCCCTTGTCGCATCGCACAGCAATAATTGTTCGGGGATGGACCATCCAGGAGACAGGTGCAGTATTCTGCACACTGCAAAAGTTCATTGGCCGCTTTCTACAGATGTATTCTGAAGCTGTATTCACAGCTAGGAGTTGGGGGGTCTTCATCTGGAGATATAGAGATAGGTAGTGTAGACAGATAAGGGCATATTGTTGTTATGTGTTTCGCGAAGTCACTGTCATCTAAAGTTGCATTGGTCGGTTTACAAAAGAATTAAATGGAAAATATGGATTTGTTGATAACTATAAAAAGAGGACAAAAACATCTGTAACCTTAGCCTGTTTAGGAGTGGCTAAGGGGAATTTGCGGATGGAAAAGAACAAACCATCTGTCTTAAAAAATAATTCATTTTGCTGTCTTTGTTCTTCGGAAAATAAGAAATATATCCCTGAAATTTGCAGTGATTAGGTATAATGTCTGATTCACTCAGTGATTATACATAATCACTGACTAGAATTATAGACATATTCCCTGAAATCACTTGTGTACTTTGAGGTATATTTCTTCCGAAAAGAGGTGGAAGTAGACTTTTGTATTAAGCGAGATAGAGACGTATCTTTGCAACAATGCTATTTTTACTCAACATAATAGATGTATGCATGATTGATGTACATATGGAGATTTATGATTGACATGTTTGAAGAACATCAATTCAGTCTTTACTTTGACAAGACAATGACAAGACAAGACCCTTTACACCAGCCTTGTAGCACTTGCATCTATTTGCCTGGCACCTCTTTACACCTGCACAGTTAGACCTATCAAAGCCTTGTCCACCACCGGCTGACCCAAATTTGACTGCCGAGCGTAAGGAGACCAGTTTTTCAGTAGACATATCCTCTAAGGTTAGAAAAGTGTGGCGCACACGTACAATTGAGTACGAGAATACTTTCAGATAAAACACCAGCTTTGACAGCAATTGTGTACATGTCACTGTCATTGATGTCAGAAATCACACCGATCAAGTTGGGTGGATCACCTCCATGTCTGATGGGATGAGAACTGTAACGTTGTCACCAACTTGAACTTCGGACAGAACAACTTTACTTCTTTTCACCATTCTCTCGGCATATCTGCTACAACAGGTAGATCTGGTTCTGACATATCTGCTACAACAGGTGAATCTGGTTTTGACATATCTGCTACAACAGGTGATCTGATTGTGACATATCTGCTACAACAGGTGAATCTGGATCTAACATATCTGCTACAACAGGTGGATCTGATTCTGACATATCTCCTACAACAGGTGGATCTGGTTCTACACATCTGCTACAACAGGTGGATCTGATTCCGTCATATCTGCTACTACAGGTGGATCTGGATCTGACATATCTGCTTCAACAGGTGGATCTGATTCTGACATATCTACTACAACAAGTGGATCTGATTCTGACATATCTGCTACAACAGGTTGATCTGGTTCTGACATATCTGCTACAACAGGTGGATCTGGTTCTTACACATCTGCTACAAGTGGATCTGATTCTAACATATCTCCTATAACAGCTGAATCTGGTTCTGACATATCTCCTACAACAGGTGGATCTGGTTCTGACACATCTGCCACAACAGGTGGATCTGGTTCTGACATATCTGCTACAACAAGTGGATCTGGATCTGACATATCTGCTACAACAAGTGGATCTGATTCCGTCATATCTGCTACTACAGATGGATCTGATTCTGACATATCTGCTACAACAAGTGGATCTGATTCTGACATATCTGCTACAACAGGTTGATCTGGTTCTGACACATCTGCTACAACAAGTGGATCTGATTCTGACATATCTGCTACAACAGTTTGATCTGGTTCTGACATATCTGCTACAACAGGTGGATCTGGTTCTGACATATCTGCTACAACAGGTGGATCTGGTTCTGACATATCTGCTACAACAGGTGGATCTGGTTCTGACACATCTGCTACAACAGGTGGATCTGATTCCGTCATATCTGCTACTACAGGTGGATCTGGATCTGACATATCTGCTACAACAGGTGGATCTGATTCTGACATATCTGCTACAACAGGTGGATCTGGATCTGACATATCTGCTTCAACAGGTGGATCTGATTCTGACATATCTGCTACAACAAGTGGATCTGATTCTGACATATCTGCTACAACAAGTGGATCTGATTCTGACATATCTGCTACAACAGGTGGATCTGATTCTGACATATCTGCTACAACAGGTGGATCTGATTCTGACATATCTGCTACAACAAGTGGATCTGATTCTGACATATCTGCTACAACAAGTGGATCTGATTCTGACATATCTGCTACAACAGGTGGATCTGATTCTGACATATCTGCTACAACAGGTGGATCTGATTCTGACATATCTGCTACAACAGGTGGATCTGATTCCGTCATATCTGCTACAACAGGTGGATCTGGTTCTGACATATCTGCTACAACAGGTGGATCTGATTCTGACATATCTGCTACAACAAGTGGATCTGGTTCTGACATATCTGCTACAACAGGTGGATCTGGTTCTGACATATCTGCTACAACAGGTGGATCTGGTTCTGACATATCTGCTACAACAGGTGGATCTGGTTCTGACATATCTGCTTCAACAGGTGGATCTGATTCTGACATATCTGCTACAACAGGTGGATCTGATTCTGACATATCTGCTACAACAGGTGGATCTGATTCTGACATATCTCCTACAACAGGTGGATCTGATTCTGACATATCTGCTACAACAGGTGGATCTGGTTCTGACATATCTGCTACAACAGGTGGATCTGATTCTGACATATCTGCTACAACAGGTGGATCTGGTTCTGACACATCTGCTACTACAGGTGGATCTGGATCTGACATATCTGCTTCAACAGGTGGATCTGATTCTGACATATCTCCTACAACAGGTGGATCTGATTCTGACATATCTGCTACAACAGGTGGATCTGGTTCTGACACATCTGCTACAACAGGTGGATCTGGATTTGGATCTTGAACAGCTACAGAAATTTATATACAGAAAATCCATTTGTTGTCCATAACTCAGAGTACTTACATAACACAGTCAGCAACAGAAGCAGAGAACAATAAAGAAAAGCAGCAATGACCACCAAATTAGATTGAATCAGATGTTACTGTCACAAAGTTGGACACCTCGGCCATTAAAAAGTTTAGTATATGATTGAATATAAGAAAGAAGAATGTGTGGTGTTTCACGGGGTTCGAACTTTGATCTTTTAGCGAAACATCCTGAAACAATGTACGTAATGCATCATAGCGTTTCATTCAAGGCTGTTTAGCAGCTGTCGTATCCGCATGATGTGAAAACGGACAATAAATTACAGAACTTTCACAAAGTTTCACCTTTGATCCCACATGTCAATAAACCTCTTACTTGCAAAAATTCCAATACATGAAACTGAGCCATCAGATTAAATATGACAGGAGGCTTTACGCGAGGATCATCGTATCAGAATGTATCAGTTGTACATATGTCTCACTTATAAGACGATAATAGGAAAACGATCTGAAATCTACAACGAACTATTTCCGGGGGAAGGTGTCCAGTGTTTTTGTATCAAGCTCCGACCAACAAGGTAAATGTGTTGAGCTCTAATCAGTTAGTTTCACTGATTCTTTCTTTATGTTAGTTCTAGACTTTTGATCCATTTCACGAGACGAAATTATAATTGTACCTAACTTTTAAAATCTTATTTGTTCTGAATTTAAAAATGTCGCGATCGTTGGTAACAAAATGGATACTTCAGTTATCAAATTGTGTGTACGTCTCAAAATGGTCTTTGTGTGTACTCTCCTTCAGAATTGTAAGAACTGTTTATGTTATTCTTGTAGACAATTAACTACCTCTTTTCACTATGTCAGCAAAGTGCAAGAAATGTGAAGTAATAAATGGAATTTTCAGGTGCTGTTCAATGAGAGACACCTTTCATTCCAGGACAATTAACTGCCTTTTTCATCTGTTATTGTGGTTGTATTAATTTACAGAATTATGCTAAATGCAGGAGCATGGAATCTGCTGGTCGTTCTTGTTGTAATGCTACAGACCCAAACCGTCCACAGTCAAAGTAGGTGCCATCAGTATGTTTATGTTTACTGAAAGACGATCCTCATCAATATGTTTGCCTCTCTAGTGTTATAGCACAAGTCCACATTTTAAGAGTATTTATTATAAACTAATATGCTCTTTCTGATGATGCTCCTGGTATTTCAATCGTTATCCTACATTTAGCATGTATGTATTGTTTGTACTTGCATTTTGTTTGTATTATGGGCCAAAGGCCTACATTACTAAAATATAATGTCTGTCTGTCTGTTTGTCTGTTCTTCACAGAGTATGTGAACTTCATATTATACGGTGATATTCTACGTCATTGGAATTTGACGATGGATTTAGTTGTACGCGCCAGTAGCATTGTAGCATGGGCGCACATCTATATTTCTGGTGTGAATAGTCCAATTCTGAATTTGACGCTATGGAAATAACCTGAAAATAATATAACACGACATAATTTCGCAGTTATTCATTAACGTAAAAAAGGTCACTCGCAGCAATAATTCTTTGCTTCCTCAAACTAGTTACACTTTTGCAATTTTGCATTGAATTTCAATCATCATCCATTAACAAAAGAGGGTGTATCAAATCATGTTCCGTACATTGCAGCCTCTATATTCAACCTGGTGGTGGATTTCGGAACTGGGCCAATACTAGAAGGACAAGGGGGCTTCAATGTCACAATTGGTAGAGGAGGGGGGCACCGAACCATCCACTGTAACATATACAGTAACAAGCTCTACTACCACCAGGCCCGTGGTCAATGGCACGTTTACTGCAACGTTTGAAGAAGATCAGACACAAGCTGTCATCACGGTGGAACTTATCGACGATCCGGTAAGAACGTTTGTGAATAACGAGGACAACATAAAGCCATTAGATAATGAAAGGCATTCAAATACTATTACGCAGTTAATGTATAATTTTACCTTTACTCGTTTTGTAATAGTTACTGTCATTGTAATCACTGTGATCAAGATTATTTCTCGTATGGATAAGATAAAAGATATGATAAGACTGTACTATCCCAAGGAAAATCATATTGATCAGCATAAATATGAGATTAAAGTATAAACATAAGAAACTAAAACACTTACTAATATGGCCACAGCTACAACATATAGAAAAGTGAAACATGCTGTACTCTTACCAGGAATAAAATTAAAATTAAAAATTGTCAGTTAAACAACAGATTACCTTGATCACATGCAGTTAGATCTGAAGATGTTTTGGAAACGAGTTGGCAATAAAAATATATTTTAAAAATATTAAATATAGAAAATTGGGTATAATCACCGTGACGGCAAAAATGATACTGGAATAAGTGAAGTAATACAGTATATGACTACTGGCATTTAGTATCTGACTTATCTGCCAATATATAATATACATCAAAACAGCCCAGTGCTGTTGTCGACTCTAGAAGTCCATACTTGTGACTTAGAGGGTAGGGTTACAAGTGGTAAAGATACGTAGCTTGCATGTCGTCATCCAACTATTGCATAAGCGACAGTATTTAACGCTTTGCTGCTTGTTCTTGGCTACAACAAAGACATGAATTCCGTTTGTGTTGTTTCAAATCTTGTTTTTCGACGATGTTATCCCATTGTTTTACAAAAAAAAGAGTCAGTGTGTTAATCAAATCATATCCATCGAATGGAAAAAGAGATCATTAACGTTTCGTCGGTGTTTATCACACACAAAGAGAATTCGGATGCCGTGGCTGAAGCAATATATGCTGACGTTTTCACGAACACCCGGCATTATCACCTGGTATTATCAAGTGGTATTATCACCTGGTATTATCACCTAGTATTATCAAGTGGTATTATCACCTGGTATTATCACCTAGTATTATCAACTGATATTATCACCTGGCATTATCACCTGGTATTATCACCTGGTATTATCAACTGGTATTATCACCTGGTATTATCACCTGGTATTATCACCTGGCATTATCACCTGGTATTATCAACTGGTATTATCACCTGGCATTATCACCTGGTATTATCACCTGACATTATCAACGGGTATTATCACCTGATATTATTAACTGGTATTATCACCTGGCATTATCACCTGGTATTATCAACGGGTATTATCACCTGGCATTATCAACGGGTATAATCAACTGGTATTATCACTTGGCATTATCACCTGGCATTATCACCTGGTATTATCAACGGGTATTATCACCTGGTATTATCAACTGGTATTATCAACTGGTATTATCACTTGGCATTATCAACTGGTATTATCAACTGGCATTATCACCTGGTATAATCAACTGGTATTATCACTTGGCATTATCACCTGGCATTATCACCTGGTATTATCAATGGGTATTATCACCTGGTATTATCAACTGGTATTATCACTTGGCATTATCACCTGGTATTATCAACTGGCATTATCACCTGGTATTATCAACTGGTATTATCACTTGGCATTATCAACTGGTTTTATCGCCTGGTATTTGATTGGATGCACACACACACGACTTATAACGAACATAACTGGATTAGGACAGGAGAAGAGTAAGAACAACAGATAGAAGTCAGGAAGCCAAAGTACAATTATATGCTCCTTGTTGTCAGTTACCTGTTGTTGTTAATGTTTGTTCTGATATGTGCTATTACTGCGGCAAGGTATTGCATCCAGAGCTTTACATTTAGCGACACTTTACAGACAAAACTTGATCAAAATGCTAAGCAGTAATTCCAGACGGCGTGTTTCAAAGACGTGCAATGATCCATAAGTACCACATTATGTCCACTGACTTTCAGATCCCTGAAATAAGCCAAGGTTTCGTTGTTACTCTTGTGAGCGCTTCTTCAGGAAGCATTGGCACCACCTCTTCTCTTTCCTACACCATCAGAGACGATGATCAAGGTAAGTGAAACAAAACCTGCATACAGATTCAGGTGGTCAAACACATTCAATGCCAGCGGGATTCGAACCCAGTGTCATAGGATTCTGATAAGCCCGAGGGCTGCAACGCTACTCAGCGAATGGCGACGTCTGAGACCCCAGAACCAGCAGAACCAATCGTTCGTGTTTTTGTAACCTGACTGTATTGACTGAATAAGTATTTCTTGGTGCTTTATTCTTAAGCTTAAATCTTGTTTAATTATAACAAACGCAAGTTGTATATGCGTACGATTGTTGGACAGAACAAACGTACCTCGTCCTCCCAGTTTTGTATTATTGTGCAGATTGTCGATAGAATGTCCATCGATGATAAATATCCACAACCTACAAAGCGTTCGTGACGTTACGACCTGTCGTAACTCTAGAGTTTACCATAGGCTAACGAATGTCGTAGAGCTACCTACGTGCTGTGGATCGGGAGCCTGAATACTGAATAGTCTACTCAAACACACTGGCATCACTATATGTTGTTGGGCGGCGTCTCACCCCCATCCTACCCCCAGCTTTGATGAGCATTCCAATACTAGTATTAAAACGGTATTAAGTTCTATAGTAATTCCCATGTTGCAGTTCCGAATCCGTGGTCCGCCTGGGTGGAGGGTACGTGCGGCGGGCCCTGTGACAGCCGTTTCCAAACAGACACACGGACAAGGACGTGTAGTGACTTCAGCGATGTCTTCAGAGTAAACTGCATCACATCTGATAACAGAACCGTGGCATGTCCGACAGACTGCACTACTACAACGACGTTGGAACCGACAACGACAACCACGACGGAAGTACCGACAACGACAACAACAACGGAGGCAACGACAACAACAACGGAGGCAACTACAACGACGACAACAACGGAGGCAACGACAACGACGACAACGACAACGACAACAACGGAAGTACCATCAACGACAACAACAACGGAAGTAGCATCAACGACAACGACAACAACAGCGGAGGTACCATCAACGACGACAACAACGGAGGTACCGTCAACAACAACGGAGTTACTGACAGTCACTACAACAACCGAAGCTCCAGGTAGCATTATTCCCTTACTAGTGACCTTTGATAATTCCAATGACCACAGCAGAGTGAGTGAGTGAGTTTAGTTTTACGCCGCACTCAACAATATTCCAGCTATATGACGGCGGCCTGTAAATAATCGAGTCTGGACCAGACATTCCAGTGATCAACAGCATGAGCATCGATCTGCGAAATTGGGAACCGATGACATGTGTCAACCAAGTCAGCGAGCCTGACCACTCGATCCCGTTAGTCGCCTCTTACGACAAGCATGGGTTACTGAAGGCTCATTCTAACCCGGACCTTCACGGGTCGACTACAGCTGAAAGCACCAACTCTTTAGTGGTAACATAGTCGCTTCACTCATGCAGTTCTAGGTAACGGTATATTCTTCATCTCTGTTACCTGAACGAATCACCATATATCGACAACCCATTGTTGAATGTTTTCAATGTACTTACTGAAACCATCGCATGAAAGTTAGAGTTGGTCTTCAGTAACGCATGCTTGTCGTATGAGGTGACCAACGGGCGGTCATGCTCGCTGACTTGATTGACACATACCATCATATCCCAACTGCGTATACTGATGCTCATGCCGTTGATCACTGGATTGTCTGGTTCCGACTCGGGGTTATACAGACCACATCCAGATAGCGGGATTATTACTGATTGCGGCTTTAAACAACAAACAAACAAACAAACAAAACGCGAGAGGCGACTAACAAGATTGGGTTGTCAGTTTTGCTGACTTGGTTATCACATGTCATCGTATCAAAATCTGATTAATTCCATAATCTCAATCATTTGATTGCTTGGTGCAGAGATAGTTATTTAAAGACTGACCTCATGTTTTGGTGTGTGAGGCGATAAACAACGGACAAAGGAAACCCCAGTGAAACCTGCACACCGTCTACATTTACAACCCATTCACCCACCCCCTGCTACCTGCAACCCACCATGTCTGTAGCAGCCTCACAGCTGATATAGTTTAATGATGTTGCTTACCTGTCCCTTTCTCGCCGCTAGGTGTGTGTTGTTTTACTTACGATCGTAAGAAATGTGTACATACCGTATGGACTCAAATGAGTGAGTGAGGATGGTTTTACGCCGCTTTTAGCAATATTCCAGCAACATCACGGTGGGGACACCAGAAGTGGGCTTCACACATTGTATCCATATGGGGTATCGAAACCGGATCTTCGCCGTGACGAGCGAACGATTTAACCGCTTGGCTACCCCACAGCCCCCTGTATCAAAATAAATAAATGTGCTATCGTGTAATGTGACTTTCTCCTTATTGGATTGTTTTATGTGCAATTATTTTATTTTGTTAGCTCAGTGACTATTCGTGCATGTGAACTCTTTGATTAGATAGGAATACTCTTTTCATGTTGGACAGATCACTCATGTAGGACCTACTTGTAAGAATCACGTACCAGTCGTCTGAGATTAGTGCCAGTCGGGATTGGTCATTTTCCCACGGCTCTTGGTGATGCCGGTTTCACAACTGTTTTGACTTTTGTCCCCCAGTGGAATCTGATTCCGGGGGTGGTCGTTCTCTGACGTTGACTTGTGTCGAACAGGGGGAATATGTCAGTATGAACCTACATATTGCATGCTTCAGAATGTGATGCCAGCTGGTCGGAGTGGTCATGCTGGACTGTGTCCAGACCGTGTTCCGTTACCTGCGGGACGGGTTACCTGTATGAGGTGAGAAGCCGCACCTGTAGCGTAGACAACGGCTGTAGCGGACTACCCGTGGAGATGAGGAGAACCAAGTGTCTCATGCCGGACTGTGAAGGTGACAGTTTATTTTTATGTCCTGCTACAAACCGTCTCTCCGAAAGGGTTACCACATGGAGTATCCAATATAAGACCGTGTTCGTGGCAGTTAGGTTGATCTACAACATATACCTGAGCAATCAGAAAGTAGTGTGTAGGCCAAACGCACCATTGTCACCATGTAATTAAATGTATACTTGAACTACACACACACATTCTATCTACACACACTATGTATCCATGTTTATTTTTGTACCTAGGATGTCAGAGGTCTCAAGACAATGTCTGTTAGTGCTACAAATTCGTTCATTTTGTTTAGCTGTTCAGTATGATAAGTGGAGATACAATTCTTTTCTGAACATTCCCGTCATTATTTTGCAAAGAAAAATGATATTGTGAGTATTGTTTAAGAAATAGTTATTATTGAGCTTTATTAAAATATACTGGCCATACACGAGGAGTGATCATCTTCAATACGACCAGTTTGACACATTCTTCAAAATCCACGGTTTCTTATGAGACCTACATGTCTGTCTGTTTCCGCAGCAATCATGTGTACTACAATGAACACGACAAAGAACCATTATATATCTTTACCAGATGAGCTGGAAACTCTTTGCTTAGAGCATGTCATGTGATTGTTTCAGATTGTTAAAGCTTCCAAACAAGGGCGCAGTGAGTCTTCCAAACATCTTCTAGCGTTACCAAGCATTTAACACAGGTTACAATGTCGCTGTTAATATATACTCTGAAAAAGAGAAACGCAAAGGTAGAAATGTTCTAATGTCATCGGAAGTGGTTCGTGCCGGTAGAACAAGGTACGGCCAGAAAATCCCGAAAATTGGGGGAAACGAGAAAACGGTCAAATACATAATTCATGAAATAAACGTGAAGCATGAAATGTAATGCTAGGAAAACGATGGGGTTCAACTGTCTGTCATCACGATTGTACAGACTATTGTGCAGTGAAAAGTGGAAACATGCCACGATCTGACTGTTTCTCAACGCAACAATCTCATCCGTCGACTGTAGACAGGTGACTCGGCTTCGGCCGAAACCAGGTTGTTCCCAGTATCGCCAAGAAAAGTTACAAGACTAAGGAACCATTAGCGGACGCAGGGGTCAACACGTGACCTACCTAGATCGGGTAATGTCTTGGGAAACAAAAGTGGTGTTATTGTTGTAGATCGCCATCTCATATAACGGTCGTATGGATTTGGTACAAATTTCGGCAATCTAACGACACAACACTTACACAGATGAAATTCTTAACACCATTTTCGCGTTTCTTCTTCTACAGAGTATATATCTTTCAGAATATAAGTTTACAATTCCTTAAGGATATTGCCAGAAAATCCGGCAGAAAAAGCATTATTATTGCCGTTCGAAGATACATCTAGATGCTAAAGCGTCGTATAACGCTAATTTATATATTGTGTAAGAAATGCATCATTTTTACTTTCAGGATCTCAGGCAAATTCAAACAGCTGGACTCCTTTGTTCTGTAATAAACTAATCATTAACTCGCATACATCCTTATATTGTTATTGAACTGTTCTTGTGTGGGGGAAAATATGGAGGATCAATACCCATGGACGCACCGACAACCATGGAACACAAACATACCATTTAACCAGTAGATATGTTGTGAGCATAAATTATTATTTGGTCTCGTTTTAGATTATATCCATATAGTATAATGTGTTCTCTGGACCCATTCAGAATCTTGGCTTTATTTTGAACTGGTTTTAATGGCTCTACACAAGCAAAACACGTCTAAACAAATTGTATAAATATTTGCTCTTTTTTAGATTTGTCAGAAACACTTGTGCTATAACTCAGCAAAATATATTTTCTTGGTAAAAACAATGTGATTCGTTTGAATGCCTCAGCGACTCTTCACATTCCACATATAACTACGGACATCAGATGTGCAAAATTTTAATAAAAAATGTAATATTTTTAACAAGAAACAAGGCTCATCATAAAAAGCACAAATGAATTAAATGTATCAACAACGAATACATCTCCTACTCTGATCAAACGTTACGCATTGTATTGAAAGATCACACGCACACTGTTCACTTCTTCAGATCTTCCTCTTACCCCTGTTCCCTGAAATAGGAAACGGACGGTGCGAGTTGGGCGTGTGAGCGTACATAAAGTCCTATAAATCAGCAACTGGCATTCTTGGGCTCAAATCCTAATCCATTCCTGGAATCATGAATCGGACTTCACTTGCGGTGCCAAATAACTGCTACTCTGTTATTGTGCCGGACTTTGGAATTCGAACAGCGAACCTGTTACTGGTCTGTCTACAACGAGATTAATGATAATCCATTAAAAACAGGGAACATCTTATGATAAGTTAACCTGTCATGGTGTTTCACCCTGATTCTGACTGGCTAACACCCATTCAATTATTTTAAGGGTATCCTCCAACTCGTAACGTCCATCTCAATCTTTAAGTTCCCCGCGAGGATTGCCAAACATATTGCATTACATTTCTAACATACCCACATCGATTTTTGCATCTCGACCTAATTATGTAAGAGGCCAGTCTCAAATAACTTTGATGAGTATTTTTCTGTCTTTTGCCGTTTTTCGATGAAATTAAAGAATTAACGACACGGTAATTGCCTAACTGTGGTATTCTTAACAATTCGGACATATTCATGCCTGCGTAAAACATGCCTGCAATATAGGTGTGCCGTGAAACACGGGTTGACCAACATTCCTCTGTGTGACATCGGTTGAAGTACCTGCTATGTCACGTGGGGTTCGTGGAAGATACACTAACATAGCGGAACATCAAAGCATGCCCCCGTGCCACTTAACAAATGATCACACCGTGCCACTTAACAAATGATCACACCGTGCCACTTAACAAATGATCACACCGTGACACTTGACAAATGATCACACCGTGACACTTAATAAATGATCACACCGTGACACTTAACAAATGATCACACCGTGACACTTAACAAATTATCACACCGTGACACTTAACAAATGATCACACCGTGCCACTTAACAAATTATCACACCGTGCCACTTAACAAATTATCACACCGTGACACTTAACAAATTATCACACCGTGCCACTTAACAAATGATCACACCGTGCCACTTAACAAATGATCACACCGTGACACTTAACAAATTATCACACCGTGCCACTTAATAAATGATCTCACCGTGACACTTAACAAATGATCTCATGATCACCGTGACACTTAACAAATGATCTCACGAGTACCCTTGGTATTTCCTATCATTCTGCCTGAAGAGCTATCCTGGCTCTTGTCAGGTTGGCGATTGCTGGGCTCCTGTTGCAGGCTCTTCAACCGAGACGACACACAAGTCCACTTCTCTGGGGACTTAGGATTAGTGGGCCAGTCAAATTTACGTGTGCCTTCTCATTGGTGATAAGCTGTGAAAATCTGGGCACGATGTTGTTTTGGCATTTTTAGCTTGCATCTCAAGAATTTATTTGCTAGCGAATGAACAACGACAGGGCGTTAAGTGTTTTCAACATATCACTAGTCAGTCAAATGTCCATGCACAATAACTTCACCCCAATGCCTTTCAAGGTCAAGACTTGTTTACCTGGCCTACCACTCGCCGTTACTTCGCCAAAACTTTTTGCCCACAATGTTCTACCATATGTGAATCAGAGGCAAGCCTTCGGTCATCTGCAGACAAGGCATGAGGCCAATGGCGCATCCATGTCCAGTCGTACCCCAATATTTTCTGCCTATACTAAGCTTCCTTCGCACGACGACTTGCCCTCAGACGTGCTGAGTAGAGGCGATTTTTATCGGGGAATGTTGACATTCACCTTCAAGTTTTCTAGCGAACGTCGTTATTATTACCAGAAAGAGACTTGAATTTACAGTGCAATTATGTAACGAAACGATCATGACTAGGTGTCGTTTGCAACCCAACACAATTTCGTTCCTTGTCCCACTGTCGAGAAATTATAGTTTTAGAATTGCCAAACATTTGCGAAACACGAACGTCCCTCTTCTGTCCTACCGACAATTCACCACCTGTTTTCGGAACTTCAACCTTCAACTTCCCAGGTGACACGTCATATCAACTATGTCAGACCTGTGTTCACGTAAACCAGCTCTTTTGAAAAACAGTTTTCCTAGCCTATCATAGAATTTTTCTAATGCCGTGGATCCCTGTGCACCCGTGAGTGAGGAACCAACCATCAGATATTCTCGAGGGTTGAGTGACAATGTTCCATTGAATATAATAAAGCGTTACATATCTGTCCGTAGCACATTTTACCAAACATGCATGCAATAGCTATGGCATATTTACAAACAATTACAGTATTACATACATGCGAAGAACATCAGACAAACACGATACAGAACGATTAAACATGCACACATTTTTCACTATACGCATTCCAATATACACAACGTAATAGTGAGTGAGTGAGTATCGGTTTATGATGCTTTTAGCAATATTCCAGCATTAACACGGCTGGGGACACAAGAAATTGGCTTCACACATTGTACCCATGTGGGGAATTGAAACCGGGTCTTTGGCGTGAAGAGCGAACACTTTTAACTCAACCCAATAGTTCTCCAGAAAACTCAAACCAATAGTTCACCAGTAAACCCAAACCAATAGTTCATCAGTAAACCCAAACCAATAGTTCACCAGTAAACTCAAGCCAATAGTTCACCAGAAAACTCAAACCATTAGTTCACCAGAAAACTCAAACCAATAGTTCACCAGGAAACTCAAGCCAATAGTTCATCAGTAAACCCAAACCAATAGTTCACCAGTAAACTCAAACCAATAGTTCATCAGTAAACTCAAACCAATACTTCACCAGTAAACTCAAACCAATAGTTCACCAGAAAACTCAAACCAATAGTTCACCAGTAAACCCAAACCAATAGTTCACCAGAAAACCCAAACCAATAGTTCACCAGAAAAACTCAAACCAATAGTTAACCAGTAAACCCAAACCAATAGTTCACCAGAAAACCCAAACCAATAGTTCACCAGTAAACCCAAACCAATAGTTCACCAGAAAACCCAAACCAATAGTTCACCAGAAAACTCAAACCAATAGTTCACCAGTAAACCCAAACCAATAGTTCACCAGAAAACCCAAACCAATAGTTCACCAGAAAACCCAAACCAATAGTTCACCAGTAAACTCAAAACCAATAGTTCACCAGAAAACCCAAACCATTAGTTCACCAGAAAACTCAAACCAATAGTTCACCAGTAAACTCAAACCAATAGTTCACCAGAAAACCCAAACCAATAGTTCACCAGTAAACCCAAACCAATAGTTCACCAGTAAATCCAAACCAATAGTTCACCAGTAAACTCAAACCAATAGTTCACCAGTAAACTCAAACCAATAGTTCACCAGAAAACTCAAACCAATAGTTCACCAGTAAACTCAAACCAATAGTTCACCAGTAAACTCAAACCGATAGTTCACCAGAAAACTCAAACCAATAGTTCACCAGTAAACTCAAACCGATAGTTCACCAGAAAACTCAAACCAATAGTTCACCAATAGTTCACCAGTAAACTCAAACCGATAGTTCACCAGAAAACTCAAGCCAATAGTTCACCAGAAAACTCAAACCAATAGTTCACCAGAAAACTCAAGCCAATAGTTCACTAGAAACCAACAAATGGCAGAAGTCAACATCTATACGTGCCCTCTACATGTCCATCATTAATAATTCTAAAAGTTTTACCGGGGCCGTTGGAGTAGAGGCGTGCACGACTCTCTTCGAAATCTTTGGATCACACATGAGTTTTATGCTTGTAGGGATCTGTCGCATGTAGTGTTACTGCCTTGCAAGTATGGAATTGCGTCGCTCGATCTTAAGTAACGACTTCTGAAATCGTTAGGGTAATGGGGCCAGGAAACGCTTTACAATGTTTGCGGGTCATAAAAGGCATTTAGACCCGAAATTGAAATTAATACGTTAAACATGTGATTACTTACAAGTAAAACGATATTATGAGGTTATTAATAAGTGTTACTATATTTCTGTGTTGTAGCAATATTGTTCAACTAGTTATGAATACACCATGCCATTTAGTGCAGTTTTGATGTCGGCTATCCACACCTAGGTTTGGTATAATTGGATAATCACAAACTTTGAGATTGGCATGTATTATAATATAAATCATTTGAACACAAATCCATTTTCCGGCAGACAAGAGCATTTCAGATTGTATTGTGTCGCTCTATTCTATATTCACAAATAAGGGTGGTGAACCTATGTCATGATTTAAGCGTTGGCTCGTCACGCCGAAGACCCGGGTTAGAATCCCCACATGGGTACAATGTGTGAAGCCTATTTCTTGTGTCCCCCGCCGTGATGTTGCTGGAATATTGCTACAAGGGGCGTAAAACCAAACTCAGTCAGTCAGTATCTCATGATTTCTTTATGGATTTATACCCAACACGTGTTTACTATTCAGTTTGTTATGTGTTCAAATGCAAGCGGCTATATTTATGTATTTTAATGCCACGTGTATAACTGACTTGCCTTTTGCCCGTCTTCATTACGGACAATTCCTGTAGTAATAGCTTCTTGAACACCTGATATCATCACGATCTGGTACATGTTTATGCTTATAATCGGACTCCTGACATGAGCTTTTCATTAAATCAGATATCTCACGATTCTTTGACACTATCAGTCAAAAAGACAGTAACTTATCTGAGTATACATATATAGCAGACAATATTAAACTAAATGCATAGCGGATGTCCATAATTGGTGACCTGTAAGTGTAGTTTGTGTGTCAATAGATTGTTCATAGCCTTATAGCATGACGTAACCATTATATTTCAAGCACAAAATGTTTTCACCAGTTTATACCTCGGGTACTAGCGGACTTGGGTACATAAAATATAAATAATCGATCCGTAAGACACGCGATTTATTGTATTAAACAATCGCCGTTAACACATATAAGCGGAAACGACAAAAAAACACTCATTCAGAAAAATTCTGATGATGCTTACGTTGTCGACACATGACTGTGACAGACGAATCCAGGACAAAATCCACCCGGACAAAATCCACCCCAAAATTGCAACCTAGGACAAAATCCACCTGGACAAAATCCACCCCGGACAAAATCCACCCCTAATAAAATCCACCCTAAGAAAAAAACAAATTAATGACATGTTTAGTCACAGAAATGAATTTTATTCATATCAGTCATTCATAATCGATAACAAAAACAACCAAAATACATATGTAAGCACATTTTGTAAGCACATTTTTTGCATATATAGATATGACAATTGCACATTTTCACATTTCACATTTATGACTCATTCATGCATCAATACATATATAAATATGACAACAGCATATATTTTCACACATTCAGATATATCTATGACTAAACATCTTGCCACATTTCAAAAACGCAAACAAGCAACGGCCGACGCCGTGGAGAAAGTCCCCGAGCGTCTCGTCCTTCGCTGCGTAGGTCTTGCACAGACCTTCAAGGCGTTCGTGGAGACGTTTGGTGGTTGTTCTGGTTCTTTTCTTAGGGGCTGACCTCTTTCACTTCCATGTCTGTGGTCACTGAACCCTTGCAAGACAGCGGTTTCCGATGGGAACACTCCCACCTAATTGTTGACTTGCTCTCTTTCTTCTCAAACTCATTAAAAAGTATGTTCTATCAAAACATTAGTAAAAGGGCTCCAATCAGGCTTGCAAAAACATCTTAATTCTTTAAGGGGATTACGTAATGATCAAAGTGTGAGACTACTTAATGATACATGAAAGAGGATTAAGTAGTGATCAAAATGTGACAAATGGAGAAACTTTTAATGTTTGAGACAACATCTAGGAACAACAGCCAATTAGGAAAACGAAAATGCTATCAAAACAATGCTTGAGCAGAAACAACTTGATCAAAGATCAGGAAACACTAAAACTTTTAACAATAGCAATTTGAGAAGGGTGGATTTTGTCCATTTTTTTGTTAAGAAGAGGTGGATTTTGTCCGGGGTGGCAATTTTGGTGTGGATTTTGTCCGGGTTGATTTTGTCCAGGTGGATTTTGTCCGGTCACCGTGACAGACAGACAGACAGATAGTGTTTTTTTTGTCTCGCTTGTTTGAACAACCAATCGCTCACCGAGAGACACTAAAACAATGTAAAAAAGCTAAAATATATATAATATGTAGTACATACATGAATATTATTTGTATGAAACATCACGCCGTATAGGAAGTATGTTATTGGAGGCCCTGGCACTATCAAAGGTTAAAACGGGGTTGTTAAAGGTCACATGCAACGTAAAACACAACTTTGCAGATTCTGATACCTTTCGGTATGGACTTACAGAAACAAATCGTCAAAAATGCAAATTCAACTTATAAAGTTGGAAAATAACGCGATGAAAAAAACCGCGCGAAATCGGAGTTCAAACGTGTCTGCCTGCCTGTCAGCTAATGACAATATTCAATACACAGCTGCTATCACTGACCACATGCAATTTGAACTTAACACCAATCAGGCTATACACCATAAACAAAATGCATTGATTTATGGCCCGAGTTCGGCCTCTGTCACATTATGTAATTACACAGACAGGCACGTGTGATACTTGAACACATGACATGTTATGATGTCTGTTGATTGCAAAATGTTATACATAAAAAATGAGCATGTATTTACAAAACCCAACATCTCTATATAAACACACACAATGAGCATCTGCAAATGAACCAGCCGTTACACTTGAGTGCACACCCACCCGCTCTGACTGGGTTCGGTTTCCCGGCTGCTTCGTTTCTTGGGAAGTAAACCGAAGTACACAATATTGCACTTTTGATTTGCGATTGTACGTTTATAATTTTGTTTATATGTTTTTTCATAACCAGCAATGTATATTATATGTCATGAATAAGTGATAATTGTGTTTGAATTATGTTTGATTTTTGGGTTGCATGTGACCTTTAAGTAAAGAATAAAACTGATCATTTGGAGATAGCATATCAAAACCCTCTAACTTGTTACAAGAGTACATCTCATAACGCCATGTTTCAACCCTCGGAGACTGTGGGTGTATAATGTTTAAGTATCTAATCCATTGTATTGATCCCAGAGCATGACTAATCCATTCATTTAATCTTGCATTATCCTCTAATCTGTGCACACCTGCTATCATTGACGTAAAGGAACATTCATCACACACGGATTAGTCGGAGATTGATAATGGGAATACTTAGATATACTGCACGTTTCTATTGTAAAGACATTTTTGCAGAAGAGAAGGTAGGACATCATTAGTACTCTTAATTAAATATATGTTACATATTTCTTTGTATCAAAAACAAAGTGATCATAAGATGCTCATTGTATTACCTGCTTGATCATATAGAGTTGGATATTTTGAGAATAAATTTGATTTTGTCCCAATTATATTGCGCTATATGATCTTACACTACAGCAGAACGTTTCTGTTCTGTCCAAGTGATGGCGGGTGTGTTTCAACGATGGAAGAACCTGCTGTTGCTGTTGCTGCTGCTGAATCAGACTCTGGACGTCCACACAGGTGGGTGTATTTACCTCTGTATATTGTACAAGATTAGATAGAAGCAACAAAACCATTTCCACATTCATAAGAAGTCTCTTCCAGAAACAGAGCCGATTGCACTATATCATGAGCAGATATTGGTTTCAGCGGTATTACAGCTGTATGATGTTGTCTGTAAACAAATCTAGTCTGAACCAGACAATCCAGTGATTGTGACTATGGGACACAATGCGACGCTCAGGCACAATCTGAATCCAGGATATATGATAAGAATTATAATTCTTCATGAATCTTACTTTTCATAATTTAAAGTTGAATTTTAGTTGGGGAAGAGCCACAACCTGTGTGTGCAAAAGGCTGAAAGGCCTTTCCTAATCCCAGATTCACTCATTTATAAAGTCGCATCTTCAGTGCTTTGCCCGGGACCCATGTCAAGGTTTCTGAAACAAAGATTATAATGCATAAACTAGATTAACTTATTATCGTTAGGAACACTAGGAACACTGTTTCAGGGATTGTGTATCCATTCAGTGACGAAGTACTGAAAAATTAGAACATTTCAAAGACCGTCATTTGGAAAAGCATACCTATACGTACCCTGTCGTCGTTTGAACACCCAACGAGTAGGAGATCCCTAAATGACTAAATCACTCCACACACACACACCGCGTTCCCCCACCCCACCCCACCCCAACACACCCGTACCCTAATCTAAACGTGTCTTTGCATAAAAAATTAAGAGCGTGTGTAGAATCTCAACACATCTCTTACACTGTATTCACCATTGAAATATTTGCAGCGCTGTTTTTTCCTACCACGGCATTTTACATAATGTCTGGCCCCAACTTCATCAGCGAAGGTGACGGACCCTTAGAAGTCACAGTCTCACGATTCGCACCTTCACTAGCTCAGCCTGCGACGATTTATTACACAATCGAAACAACCGTGCCTGCTAGTAGCAACATTGTCGAGACATCGGTGGCGACCGGAGGCAACATCTCGGCAGTCTTCCCGCCTTTCATCTCAGCCATCACCATAAGCGTACCTATCAGTGACGACTCGGTGAGGTCATTGTGAACAGCAGTCATGTAACTAGTTGTCGGTAATTAGTACCGGAAGTAAGTAAAGCTATAGCAGCAGTGGAAGACGTTTCTAATAGTGCCACGTCTCAGCTCAGTGATATATCATCATTGTAAATCTTTGAGAGAATTTGAGAGCATGGTTAATGCTATATTAATATTGTAATTTAAAACATTTTGCACAAACCCGGGCCATTCATTAATCCAACATGAGTCTGAACAAATACCACATTTCATAACAATTTTTGCAAAAATGACGGAATGATAAATATTTCCTATTTCTTCTTCAAGAAGGATATTGAATCAAAATTAAATAACTCACTTGGGATTACTGAAGGTTAAATTAACCTTAGTGGCCTAATTTTCTGACTGACCACCGTTGCAATAATTCTGATCGCTATGCAATAGGAAGCAGTCAGGCATGACGGGAATGTCCCCGAATCTAAGTAATTTGCTTCTTGTAGTTTATCAGATTGTCCCGAACCTCTAAAGACAGAGAAGTAACTGTATCTGTGATCACCTTGTTTAGATTCAAATGCGCCACTAATCAAACAAGACCTCTACCACATCACAACCTGACCTACTACTGAATGTAGACTTTAGACAAAACCGTTGTAATATAATGTATTCCCTGTCCAGAGTGTAAACCACATCACAACTTGACGTACTTCTGAATGTAGGCATTAGACAAAACCGTTGTAATATAATGTATTCCCTGTCCACAGTGTAAACCACATCACAACCTGACGTACTACTGGATGTAGGCTTTAGACAAAACCGTTGTAATATAATGTATTCCCTGTCCAGGGTGTAAACCACATCACAACTTGACGTACTTCTGAATGTAGACTTTAGACAAAACCGTTGTAATATAATGTATTCCCTGTCCAGAGTGTAAACCACATCACAACCTGACGTACTTCTGAATGTAGACTTTAGACAAAACCGTTGTAATATAATGTATTCCCTGTCCAGAGTGTAAACCACATCACAACCTGACGTACTTCTGAATGTAGACTTTAGACAAAACCGTTGTAATATAATGTATTCCCTGTCCAGAGTGTAAACCACATCACAACCTGACGTACTTCTGAATGTAGACTTTAGACAAAACCGTTGTAATATAATGTATTCCCTGTCCAGAGTGTAAACCACATCACAACTTGACGTACTTCTGAATGTAGACTTTAGACGCAACCGCTGTAATATAATGTATTCCCTGTCCAGAGTGTAAACCACATCACAACCTGACGTACTTCTGAATGTAGACTTTAGACGCAACCGTTGTAATATAATGTATTCCCTGTCCAGAGTGTAAACCACATCACAACCTGACGTACTTCTGAATGTAGACTTTAGACAAAACCGTTGTAATATAATGTATTCCCTGTCCAGAGTGTAAACCACATCACAACCTGACGTACTTCTGAATGTAGACTTTAGACAAAACCGTTGTAATATAATGTATTCCCTGTCCAGAGTGTAAACCACATCACAACCTGACGTACTACTGAATGTAGGCTTTAGACGCAACCGTTGTAATATAATGTATTCCCTGTCCAGAGTGTAAACCACATCACTAATGAACAGAACTATCTGCTATGAATTCCCCCTCTCTCAGACTCCGGGTTAGACTTTGTCCCAGCACACCAGAGCTGATCGTAAATGACGAAGCACTGTGTGTAAATGTAGTGTTGCTTGGTTCATAGGGTGTTACTATGAACAGGAGGTAAAGGAGATTTTACTGGGCAACCATTGAGTTTAAGAGATAGTCGTTAGGAACTGTATGGTAAGAACAAAGTTGTCACAGCCTGTACAACTCCATTCTGGTTCATTCTATTGCTGAAAAGAGATGGTTGCAAACATTTTTCACTGTTCAATTTACACAATATCTGGGTTTGTATCTACTGATGACAATCCTGAAATTGCTATTTGCATAATAAAACAGTGCAATGAAGGTTGACGAATCAATTGTAATATTGTTGATTTGTCTGTCAGATTTTCGAGGGCACGGAATCTTTTCACATCAGGATCTTGACTACCAGTACCGGAAGCCCTGGGCCTGAAGACACCTTCACGTTTACCATTATCGACGATGATGGAAGTAAGTGAAGCTGCATTCACCACTGATGTCAGTGATATATGTATTATCATTATTGTAACACTCATTTCATGGATACATACATTTTCTTCATAAGCGTAGAGTGAGTGAGTTTTAGTTTTACACCGCTTTTAGCAATATTCCAGCAACATCACGGCGGGAGACACCGGAAATGGGCTTCACACATTGTACCCATGTGGGGAATCGAACCCGGGTCTTCGGCGTGGTTATCGAACGGTTTAACCACTTGGCTACTCCACCTCCCCCATAAGACGGGTTTTCTGAGGAGCCGCATTACAGCGTTGTTTGTTTGTTGTTGAAAGACACACTCAGCAATATCATAGCTATATGACGGTGGTCTGTAAATGCCGGAGTCTGGACTAGACAATCCACGAGCATCGGTCAGCTGGGTCGTGATGTGTCAACCAAGTCAGCGGGTCTGACCACATTATACTGTGTAATGGTACTTAGGATACCCCAGGGTTTAGCACCGTGTTCGTTGGTTTTCATCAAAGTAGGTAAACGTCCTTGAGCAATGTTTTGGGCATTACTCCCCCGCCAGGCCGACACGCAGTGGCTGAATATACTGTTTCAAGAGGCGTTAAAATCCCTCACTTTGTCTTAATGTGTGTATGTTGTGTGTAGGAATCACGGAGTGGACAGAGTGGGTGCAGGGGGACTGTACAGGGGCGTGTGGGATGCAGGAGAGGGTGGACACAAGGACAAGGATGTGTGACACGGAACATCAGGATGATATCCGGATGTGTTTGCCATTCGTCGCCAGTGAAAACAGAACAGTGAACTGTATCTCACCTATGTGTACAACCACAACGGCAACCACATCAACCACAACACCTCCAACAACTACTACAACAACACCCACAACATCCACAACCACAACGACACCCCCAACGTCCACAACGACAGAGATACCAGCAACAACCACAACAACACCCCCGACAACCACAACAACGCCTCCAACAACAACCACAGAGACCGCACCAACAACAACCTCCAACAACAACCACCGATGCCAACAACAACCAACAACAACCACCAGATACCAACAACCACAACAACACCCCGACAACCACCACAACACCTCCAACAACCACCACAGAGATGCCAACCTCCAACAACAACAACAACCGACAACCACCGCAACGCCGACAACAACAACAACAGAGATACCAACAACAACAACAACACCCCCGACAACCACAACACCTCCAACAACCAACAACAACCACAGAGATACCAACAACAACCACAACAACAGAGATACCGACAACTACAACAACACCTCCAACAACAACCACAGAGATACCAACAACAACCACAACAACACCCCCGACAACCACAACACCCCCAACAACAACCACAGAGATGCCAACAACAACCACAACAACACCCCTACAACCACACACCTCCAACAACAACCACCACAACCGCACCCCCGACAACCACAACAACAGAGATACCAACAACCACAACCGCACCCCCAACAACAACAACAACAACCCCGACAACAACAACACCTCCAACAACAACAACAACACCCCCGACAACCACAACAGAAATACCAACAACAACCACAACACCTCCAACAACAACCACACCTCCAACAACAACAACAACCGCACCCACGACAACCACAACCACAACGATACAACCAACAACCACAACGACAGATATGCCAACAACAACCACAACAACACTCACGACAACAAGAACGACACCTCCAACAACATCCACAACCCCAGAGATGCCAACAACAACCACAACAACGCCTCCAACAACAACACCAACACCAACACCAACACACACAACAACACCAACAACCACAACAACATCCACAACGCCACTAACATGGACCACGTGGTCAACACCTCCAACATGGACCACGTGGTCAACACCGCCAACATGGACCACGTGGTCAACACCTCCAACATGGACCACGTGGTCAACACCGCCAACATGGACCACGTGGTCAACACCGCCAACATGGACCACGTGGTCAACACCTCCAACATGGACCACGTGGTCAACACCTCCAACATGGACCACGTGGTCAACACCTCCAACATGGACCACGTGGTCAACACCGCCAACATGGACCACGTGGTCAACACCTCCAACATGGACCACGTGGTCAACACCGCCAACATGGACCACGTGGACACAGCCTCCAACATGGACTACGTGGTCAAGACCACCCCAAAGCTGGACACCATGGACTAATCCTCAGCCTGGTAATTTAGGATTCTGTTAAGAATATTTGTTAAGCCTTATCACTAACGTTGTGTCAAATTATGCCGTGTGTGCATAAATAGGACGTAGATCATTCACCGGTTCCTGTATTGTTTCTTGTTGAAGCCACCATGTGAGACCTTCAGTGCTTTTAATTAATCGAACTAAGCATCTGTTGTTCTTTATAAAACGTGTGTAGATCAAATGTGAAATGTACAGTAGAGCTTGGCTATATATGCAGAAGCGTGCAGAGCTACCTCGCGTCGAGACAGTTCCTGGGTTAGAGGTCTGGTTCTAGATGCAGATTATCTTTTGGACGTTACGTTTTTGTGTTGATGAGTAATGAGTAATAGGTTTCTAAATATTCTCAAACATTTTCTCAGAAAACGTTTTGCGTTACTATTATTGTTTAACAATCACGACAACGAATCAGAACATTTCTAAAATATTGCCGATGTGACTGCCACTTTAACTCTCACTTGTATACATGCTATGTACCAACCATGTCTGATGAAAGGTTACAGCAGAAGGAAAAGGATGTGTGTCTCTTTAAAGGGGGTGAAAATCGTGAAAGTAACAACATACTATTTCGGTCATTCGTCTGCTTATTTTATAATCCTTACAAATTCATTAACCAAAAACATACCTGCTAACAGGAATCAGAGCACCAGGCTCTTCAAGTAGTGTGTTGTAACAACTCGGTTAACTCTATCACTGTCATGAAAAACAGCCATTTGCGTTGATACAAGGGAGGTGGTGGCCATGCGTTGAAGACACCAGATGGTTGTCTTCTAGATGGGTTTTCAAGTGTCAGCCAAGGATTGGTTCAACTGAGCTGGGTGAGCTAGTTCTGATCCAGTCGTGGAGGTAGTACCATCTCATGCTTGGCATGTGGAGGATACCTGCAGTGTTTTATAGCCTCAAATCCTACCACTATTACACTTCTAACCCAAAAGGTTGAATAACGCAAATGTTCTCGTGGACGAATGTAGATGGAACTTGGACTCACCTGAATCTCAGATGCTGTCTAGTTAGGCATGCCTGACAGTGACTTGGAACAAAATTGTGGATGCTTTCAGCCAGTTGGAAACGGCTCTGCCACGATTTGGTGTCAATCCAAGAATCGTTCAAGCTGTTGATGATTCAGTAGATGCAGCAACCGAATATGTTGGCCGACGCGCCACACGTGGACGACGGGCTAGTGACAAATGATAACAGAATATCTCCACAGAGATAATATCGATTAATATTAAAATGTCTTGCAACTTCTTTCGGCGCCATTCCTGTTAGCAGCATTCACACATCGCGTTGGCGATGTTCAGCAAACCCTGGTCCAGCGTTAGCTTTATTTACGCTCAAGAATATGTTATTAAAGAGCACCTGATAGGTAAACAACGCGTTCATTAACATGCGCGTGCCAATTGTGAATCACGACCTTAAAGTCCTGGCAATACCGTCATGAATATGTTTATAGTTCCTGACTAATTGTTTTCGTGAACTTGGAACGTTTAATCGGTTTGTATTGATTTCCACTAAATCACGTATTGGGGTTATTATTTGTAGAGTGGTCCAGCTGGTCAGCTCTCGGACCTTGCTCCACTACATGTGGCCTTGGCTGCGTCTCCCGTGAAAGGTCAAGGCCATGTCCAAGTAATGACCCTACGTGCAATGAAGAGCAAGTTCAAACAGAGTCAATGGAATGCAATGTTGGAATTTGTCCAGGTACGTAGACTATTATAGGTAGTCATGACAGCGGTCCAGGTGTAGAGCAAATCAGGGTAGATATGACATTTGTACAGGTGTGTAGGACATTATAGGGTGGCAATGACCCTTGTTCTAGTCTATTATAGGATAGATAGACAAGACAGGTATAAAGTGAAAATGAAACAATCACAGCTTTCCAAATGTCTTACCTATTACAGGGTAGCCATGATACTTATCAAGGCATAGAATCAATTACAGCCATTTGCCCATGTACTTATACTATGGCAGGGTAGCCATGACAACGATATCGGTATGTGGTTTATTCATTGTCTTTGTGGAATTCTTCAAGTCGTGTAGTGTATTACAGGACAGACATTACATTTGTCTGGGCACGTGGTCAATTACAGGGTAGTCGTGCTATTTGTCCGGGTATGTATTCTTATAAGATAAGACAAGAAGAGGATTATCTAAATTACTACAGAGAGGCTAGAAACATACAGCTTAGCAATAGATGCGAACTGACATTCCGAACTTTTACTCCCAAATTAATGGGTTTCTTGGGTTTCGTTTAAGAAGTAGCTAGAGGGCTCGTTAATGGCATTGAAAGCGGACTATTAAAACGGCCTGAACGATCTTCTTTGTGTGTGTGTGTGTATGTGCGAGCGTGTGTGTATGTGTGTGTGCTAAGATATGAAGGTAGTGGTACATTACTAATAAGCAGATTTATATATCCTATAGTAAAATAATGCAAATTTCAATGCAAACATTTCCTCAGTGTTTATAAGTTGACTTCGACACTTCCAGAATGGGGAGACTGGCATGAATGGCAGGATGACGGCTGCTGCTCGGTAACCTGTGGTGTGGGCGTCATACGGAGACAGCGACTGCGGGTCTGCGGCACCAGTAACAGCGCTAATGGTACCTGTGACGGCAGCGACACCGACACCGACACACAGTCTTGTTTCGAAGTCGGTTGCTAACCACCATACCCGGGTCTTGTGAAGGTAAACTAGCAGGTGGTATCCTAGCAACACGGAGATATCACCTGTACGTGGCAATACTGTTCGTCACGTCGTCTAATCTGTTTAACATATCTCCCATAGGCAGAAGTGGTTATTTCTACTAAACACACGACGAATTCTCATTGTGATGTGGTCAGACGTGAGAGATGAGTGTTGTCATAAACAAATGAGTCGGCTCCGTACGACGAGTGTCAACAAATTTGACAAATCGGTGTATTACCTTCAAAGTTCACATGCTAATTATCTAGATGTTCTCCATTAAATATAAACATCTTGTTTCCTATCCTGCATGTGAACACAATGATGTATCATCGATTATTTCATTTACAGGTGTCCAAGCTTCTGCCAACCCTGCGCCCTGATGCACTGAGTAAAGAAAACCCCTGTAGACATAAACACATTTAATGCCATATGTTGTTTTGAGTTTTATTTACCTTAAGTATTTTTGTTTGTTAATGAATAGTGCCTTGTAGAGTGTCGCGTATCTGCGCTCCTGACATCAAGGTAACATTAAGTAACAATCGACACATTAAGTCGGGAGTGACCAATCCTGGGAGTTGGTTAACTCGACACTCCATAGGGCCAGTCAACATTAGTATTCTGATCAAAGTATTTCTGTACAAATGTGAAAACCATCTCGCTAGTGCATGGGACAGGTTCATTATATCAGTGGGTAAGACTAGGTTGTTATCACAGTCACGCCTGATTGATTTGTCTGACAATTGGGATGTCTGACTTTTGGGACGTCTAACTTTTGGGAGTAAACCATCTAGGCTAGGGAAATTTGGGAGAAATGCTCCTTAGCGGTCTATGTACAGCCAAAATATGTCTCTAAGACAATTAAGACCAAGCGAGGACACCTAAATACAAAGCTTAGTCTTACAAAATAAAATTCATGAACTGAATAAAGAAATCCCAGATTTCTAAAAGATACTGGTACTTGATATAAAGAGTAAATGTGGATGGTGTATTTTATATAAGTGTAGCGGGAGAATTTTCTAAATTTTCTTCGCCGATTTCGTTCAAATTTGAAATGTATGTTACTCATAGCATATAAAAACAATATACAGTTGCAAAAGTCTAGATTTTTATTTTTAAAAATTATTGTCGAAACAACGATTCGAACCACTGTGACTAATATCCCCAGTCGTCTCGGGTTACTCAGTTCATTACGGAACGATGCACGTGGAAACAGTTTGCGATTAACTAACACACGTGTACAGGAGTAATTACAATAATTACCTGGCACACCCTCATGCATTGAAGCAGACAATCAAAAAAGAAAACACAAACATGCATGGTGTGAGAGTAGCGGATGCTCCATCTTCGAGAAAACCTGGTGTTAATAACAGCAATTACATTTTACAATGCTACTTTTCCTTTTGTGTCCGATATAATTTGTTTCGTCAGATAATGTGGACTCGTTTCTCACTGTCATTGTCATTGTCATTGTTTCGCCATTCAGAAAGGACAGAAATAACTGTGTGAAACATCCCGACCTTGCAGAATTATCAGATGTGAACAATCCTTGATTTGGGATGTTGGTTTCTGGTTCGTGTCAAATTCGCATGTCAATTTAACGTTCCACGCCACAAGTTCTTCAACAATGCAGAAATACTGTAACAACTTTTGCACTTTCAAAAATCAACTTTATATTTACCAATTTTTGTTCAATGGCCCCGGTGGTAAAAAAGAGTTGCTTTGTTTATGAAATAAGATCATGACTTGATGTGTGTGAGGACAAAGCCACAATTGGCCAGCCAGGAGAAAGCAAATAGTCGTACTCCACCATGTCACTCGAACAGATCCACCTTACAATCCTGTGCAATCGATGAGACTTGGGAATTATAGACCATCGACTATTACTTCGGATCCAAATAAGAATTGGTCTTCAGCAACCCATGCTTGTCGTAAGAGGCGATCAGGAAGCCAGGCTTGCTGACTTGGTTGACACATGTCATCGTGTCCCAATTGCGTAGATCTGTGCTCATGCCGTGGATCACTGGATTGTCGGCCCAGACTCGATTATATACAGACCGCCGTCATATAGCTGGAATATTGCTGAGTGCGGTGTAAAACAACAAACCAGGCAACCAGCTTAGGTTAAGAATTGACCTGCTTTTGCCTAATGTCCTCTATTGGGGTTATATATTAACACATTTCCTCGAGTGGTTTTTGTTTTGATGATTTTGGTGTTTGGGATGTGTATTTGGATGGGTGAACACCTGGTGTCGTCAGTATTTGATGCTCACATCATATCATGATACGTTCAGAATCGTCAAACACCCGTGAAGATCCGGGTTAGAAGATTGGCCTTCAGTAACCCATGCTTGTCGTAAGAGGCGACTAATGGGATCGGGTGGTCAGGCTCGCTTACTTGGTTGACACATGCCACTGTAGCCCAGTTGCGCAGATCGATGCTCATGCTGTTGATCACTGGATTGTCTGGACCAGACTCGATTATTTACAGACCGCCGCCATATAGCTGGAATGTTGCTGAGTGCGGAGTACAACTAAACTCACTCACTCACTCACTCACTCAGAATCGTCAAAAAGGCTCTATTGTCAAAACATCCACAACACATCCCCATCTTCAAATCTGTTGAAGATCGACCACAGGTTGTCATCAGGTACACCATCGGTAGCTCACACCTAACTGCTTGTCTCAACACTTCAGCAGTCATCATTAGAAAAAAATAGATTTTCACTATATATGCTAAGTACTCAACCCCACGCAATATGGACAATACATGATTTGCCACATCGTACATAAAGGGGGTATATTCTAGAACCATAAAACTGTTTGATGTGCATGTGCTTGCGTAGGCTGCGTCAATTAAATTTCATTTCCACCTGATAAATTTAACTACCTGATTATAAGAAAGCATCCCAGCGGTAGCTGTCATTTCCAAGAAGATAATGTATAATACATTGACTTACATACCTCTTTAAAGTTTTAAATAATGCCATATGAAGACCAGAATACACACGGTCGAAAGTTATTTTTAATATGAGGTGAAAAGATCATTTCAATAACAAGACTGTTCATACAGAAGTGCATCTTCCCAAGACGGGTCTTCAGTAGGTGGGATTTCCTTGCCTTGGGAAAATGTCAGTAGTTTGGAAAGACGGGTGCCAGGTTAATCCTCGTTCCGATATGTACACACCTTTCCTTGTCTCTCAAGGAAACAGAGTACAGTTAACACAGACTCATTATTCTCGAGCTTCGTAGCTTCTGGGACTCAATGTTTTACAATTACAAATATAAAACTACTTACAACAAGGCCAGAGAGAAACATTCAATATTGTTATGAAGCAGGTTGTACGTTGTGTAGCAATGTTCCAACTGTTATTCATTGTACGGGTAGATTCAGTTAGGGGCATTGTGCTATACTAACACTTGTACTAACTTCAGACGGAATGATCTGGAAAGTGTTGCAAGGAGCTTATTCCAGAATATTCTGCGTGTATGTAGAAATCTCTAGCATCTGGTGTATATACGGGAAGCTGGCTCTTGCCTCTCGGCTCACAACAGAAGACAAGCATTGTATGTGATGATTACTAGTATATATACCCTGGATAGTCTCTGCCTTGCCCTTTCTTCCAGGCTGGATTACTGTTACTGAGGGGTGAATATTACCACCATTTTTCTCTCTTTATTGCTATAATCACAGTGACTGTATGTATTATATTACTTTTGAATTTGTTCTGCCACTCGCTGAAAGAGTGAACGATTTGTCAAATGATAAAAGTGTTTGTAAATCTTTTTTTTATATTCTAACACTTAAACACCTTGATCTGACCTTTAAACGAGTTACAAATATACACACGACCTTGACCACCTACACAAAGCCCGCGTGGTTTGTCAATGTCGTGTCGTTCTGTGAGTAACGTCTTCACAAACTGGCCCGTCTCGGTCAGATGGACAACGCTGTTGAGATCAAAGTACGTCACCAGGATATCACCAGTAATGGTGGTGGTGACACCTTGGGGACCATGACGTGAGCTGTCTCCAGTCGGGATGGAGGTGAACACGATATCTCCGTCGGGTTTCAGACACAAGACATATTTGGTTCCAGAGTCAGACACCAAAATGTTTCCTGTGTTTGTAAGGGAGAGGAAATACGGGTACTTCAAGATGCTCGGACTATGGTGCATTAGGCTGGTTGACCTCAACACGTTCCCTTCACTATCGAGGACGTCAACGCCGGGTGGCGACGTGGTGCTCACTGCTACTGTTGATGACGTGAGAGCAGTTATACCCCGGTACTGTTTGCTTGTTGAGATGGTTGACAGCCGCGCCATGTCTGGACTCGCGTCTGCTATTACAATCTGTTTGATTTTCGGGACAGTCACAGCTATCTGGTTGGACGTCAGCTGAGTCAGACTCCAGGGGTCACTATCCAGGCTAAGCCTATTGTAACAGGGCTTGTCGTTTCTGTTGTAGAAGGACTTGACATTCTTGTTGCTGTAGTCTGTAATGATCACAATGTCAGTGTCATTTACAATCATCACTATCACGTCTATGAGTAGGGCTTTATTTCTATCCTCCGCTGTTCTGACGTTGATGGTTTCCAGTAGCACAGGAGTAGCCTTCAGGTCCAGTACGTTACTAGAGCCCTGTACTTCAGAAGTAGCCTTCAGGTCCAACACGTGACTGGTGCCCTGTGTTTCAGGACGAGCCTTCAGGTTCAACGTGTGAGGTGTGCCCTGTGTTTCAGCACCAGCCTTCAGGTTCAACGTGAGAGGTGTGCCCTGTGTTTCAGCACCAGCCTTCAGGTTCAACGTGTGAGGTGTGCCCTGTGTTTCAGCACCAGCCTTCATGTTCAACGTGAGAGGTGTGCCCTGTGTTTCAGCACCAGCCTTCAGGTCAAACACGTGACTGGTGCCCTGTGTTTCAGCACAAGCCTTCAGGCTCAACGTGTGAGGTGTGCCCTGTGTTTCAGCACAAGCCTTCAGGTTCAGCGTGTGAGGTGTGCCCTGTGTTTCAGCACCAGCCTTCAGGTTCAACGTGAGAGGTGTGCCCTGTGTTTCAGCACCAGCCTTCAGCTCCAACACGTGACTGGTGCCCTGTGTTTCAGCACCAGCCTTCAGGTTCAACGTGTGAGGTGTGCCCTGTGTTTCAGCACCAGCCTTCAGGTTCAACGTGTGAGGTGTGCCCTGTGTTTCAGCACCAGCCTTCAGCTCCAACACGTGACTGGTGCCCTGTGTTTCAGCACCAGCCTTCAGGTCCAGCATCCTCTCATAAAGGACGTCTATCTCACCCAGCTGTAGAGCGACCAGTGCTTTAAACAGCTGACCCGTGTCCAGTCTCAGTGTAATCTTGGCTATTCTGTCCTCGTCCCTCAGATCTGCATCTGCAACAGCATCATCGGCCTCACAATCCTGATACAACGTACACACATCCATGTCACTCTCAGACTGTAAGACTTGGTCTATCCGCTCAACCTGTTGCTGGCACCTTGCCACTGACGTCTCATCCGATGATATATCAGCTTGTAATTGTCTAACATGTTTTTCAGATATTGATTTTAGTTCCTTAACGAGTATATTTTCTTTGCTTTTGATCATTTCTACTGCTTTGTGACTTAATGCCCGAATGTCTGATTCAAGTTGTAAATACCTCGCAGTCTCTTCATTTGCTTTGGACTTCTTTTTTCCCAAGTTTTCCTTTATTTCTTCTTGTCTTTGTAATATATTTTCTTTCATCCTTCTCAGTTGTGACTTCACTGTGCACATCTGGGACTCTGTGCTGACGACTGAGACACATTTACTGTGGTGGGCCATGCAGCATGTTTGACAAACTGTTGTCCTGCAATCTGAACAAGTGAATGTCACAGTCTCCTCCTTGTGTTGGTCGCAACTGATCTTCCTACGTCTCCCTGGAGCCGCCTCAGGTCCTGGGGTTTCTCCCTTGTGTCTTTACTGTGTGTCTGAAAGGCAGAAGTTGCGTTGGTTTCTGTGTATGATTGCATTTAATATGTAAACCACTCCAAAATGAAATATGATTCACACTGTGTACGCTTAGGTTGCATGACATGATACTATCAAAATATCATTGTATTATAAGTCAAAAGTGCCCGGCATGCGTTTGCGTTTGATTTGTGACAATGCCGCATGCCATTTGCACCGCGTGTCAACCCCTACTGCTATCCGAGAATGGTGTCAAATGATGTCAGTCCTTCTGCATTAGAGGTATGGTATGTGTTGAACAGGGCGACATTCAGTAGGTATGAATCACCGTTAAAAAGACCTAATTAAGATACACACAACCACCATTAGCAGGGATCAGAGATACTCAATACACTTACCACACAATATCTAGAAGATGCTATTTGTTGAACATAGACACTTTTCTGGGTTTCATCTTCTTTGTATTGTTTGGTAAAACGTTTCAGGGCTTGTCCTGGCCCCATCATCAGGTGGAACACTGTACTTCAGTTCTACCTGATGATGGGGCCAGAACAAGCCCTGAAACGTTCTACCAAACAATACAAAGAAGATGAAACCCAGAAAAATCTCTAAGGTCACCTTCAATCACTCACCACTCGCTATGTGTGAATATGATACTTACAGACAGGAATAAGCGTTTTAAGATGCCATCAACAGTACGCCACAATGGATGAAAGAGATACCCTTTGCTTCCCCTGTGATCTTAGGTCGGTCCTGTCGGCTTTTATGGCCTGGAATTGTCAATACATAGGATGATACCTACTCTTATGTCATCTCAACTTCTGCCGATGTGACGTTGAAATTTAAACTTTTTATCATCCAGTTTACAAAACAATCTACACACACACACACACACCCTGCTCATAATTTTTAAGCATACGTTTTTAATATTTTTATGTAAACAATTGCTGACAACCCCTAGTACATGTGTATATGCTTCTCAATAAAAATCATCACCCCCACCCCCACACCCCATAAATTATTAACGGTCCCTTACCTTTGGTCCACGAGGTCCTGAAGTACAAAGGTGGGTTCGTCCGCCGACTCCTCCACTGGACTCGCAGTGTGGCACAATGGGCAGGTTAGAAGCTTGGTGCTGATGGCTTCACGCCGTGATTTGGTACAGCTCATAATACATTTCCGAGAAACAGTATGGAAACAGGCGAGCTAGCATAAACCTTCATAAACTTGCAAGCATATGGCACATGTCCCACATTGTTCCGTTATCTCGGTGGCAGCAATTTGAAACAGTCTGATACAATTATATTTCAACATGAAGAGAAAGGTCCCACACATGGCTCATGGTTTGAGTAAAAACTTCATTATGATGTCGTTCAGCCATTGGCAGTCACCCTCCAAATCATACGGACTTCCGATCGTTTTGGTAAGTATGCTAAAGATGGGGGTACTATCTTCCCGAAACCCTGAACACGGATTATGCCAAGTCTCGATGGTTCAGCTTTTATCTTAGCTGGTGATATTGCTCGAAACATATCAGTTATAGTGATGCTTTGTGCATTAATATGTAAGTAGAAGGGTATGACGGTGTTAAGATGAATTGCATGTGGGATTTTTATTCAAATATCTGAAACGCATTTATTGTACAAAACGTCCCTGAATTCACATTCAAATTCATCTCCATCTTGCAAACTCGTAAAACTGGTCTCATAAAATTGTTGCTTACTGTGAAAATGTTTATGTAAATGCATCTTAATACGATATGCTTTAAGTGTTTGGGCGGGACCGTGCACTGAATAGACTCACGGATGAATTAGCAAGGATGTGTGATTACACAGAGTACACCCGGGATTCGGGGTCTCCCAGTAGTAGTGTTTATCTACGCCTTTGCCTGGTATGACGTCTGTGGATATACTACAATACAGCAGCGACTAGACTAACATCTAGCCTCTCAAATGAACACATTGTAAAGAAAAAGAAACAATTTCGAATTTATTTTCATGAAAATTATAATACAAGGTATCCAGAGACGTTCTTCATTTCAGCCTGAAACTGTGGTATTCTATACTTGCCACCTATAGTCTTGACTGTTATAGGCTACATTGGGTATATTAGTTTCAGGGTTTCCATGGTAGACTATACACGGACGTAGAACACAGACATCGTATAGTCGTGCACAAGATTATGACTTTGTAAACGCATGGTATGGGATGCATTATATTTCAACAGCTGATTACAACACTAACAGTTATGTAGAGGGTAATCTCCGAGTAACTCTCCATTTCTGAATAATAATGGAGCCTAGGTCCCAGAGGGGCCGAGGCACATTATTTTTAAGAATGGAGGGTTACGAGGACCACCACAACCACCACAAACAACCATCACTCACAAGGATCACTGACAACCATCGCAACCATCACTACCACCATCACAACCAACATCATTTTACAACCCATCATTTACAACCAACCAAAACTTACCACCATCGCTCACAACCACATTTACGACCATCATTCACAACCATCATTCATGACCATCACAACCATCAATCGCAACCATCGCGCACAACCATCGGTCAAAATCATCACACACAACCATCATTAACAAACAACACACACAACCATCACTCACAGCCATCACTAACAAAGACACACACAACCATCACTAACAAAGAGACAAAACCACAACCATCACTAACAAAGACACACACAACCATCACTAACAATCATCACTCACAAACAACACACACAACCATCACTAACAAACAACACACACAATCGTCACTAACAAAACAACACACACAATCAATCATCACTCAGAACAACACACACACAACCATCACTAACAAAGACACACACAACCATCACTAACAAACAACACACACAATCATCACTCACAAAACAACACACACAACCATCACTAACAAAGAGACACACACAACCATCACTAACAAACAACACACACAACCATCACTAACAAACAGCACACACAACCATCACTAACAAACAACACACACAACCATCACTAACAAACAACACACACAACCATCACTCACAAACCACACACACGCAACCATCACTAACAAAGACACACACACAACCATCACTAACAAAGAGACACACAACCATCACTAACAAGACACACACAACCATCACTAACAAGACACACACACAAACAACACACACAACCATCACTAACAAACAACACACAACCATCACTAACAAACAACACACAACCATCACTCACAAAGAGACACACACAACCATCACTAACAAACAACACACACAACCATCACTAACAAAGACACACACAACCATCACTAACAAGAGACACACACACAACCATCACTAACAAAGACACACACAACCATCACTAACAAAGACACACACAACCATCACTAACAAACAACACACACAACCATCACTCACACAAAGACACACACAGCCATCACTAACAAACAACACATAACCATCACTAACAAACAACACACACAACCATCACTCACAAAGAGACACACAACCATCACTAACAAACAACACACATAACCATCACTAACAAAGAGACACACACAACCATCACTAACAAAGACACACACAACCATCACTAACAAAGAGACACACACAACCATCACTAACAAACAACACACACAACCATCACTAACAAACAACACAAACAACCATCACTAACAAAAGACACACACAACCATCACTAACAAACAACACACACAACCATCACTCCACAAAGACACACACAACTATCACTAACAAACAACACACACAACCATCACTCACAAAGACACACACAACCATCACTAACAAACAACACATATAACCATCACTAACAAACAACACACACAACCATCACTAACAAAGACACACACAACCATCACTAACAAAGACACACACAACCATCACTAACAAAGAGACACACACAACCATCACTAACAAACAACACACACAACCATCACTAACAAACAACACACAACCATCACTAACAAACAACACACACAATCATCACTCACAAACAACACACACAACCATCACTAACAAACAACACACAATCATCACTCACAACAAACAACACACACAATCATCACTCACAAACAACACACACAACCATCACTAACAAACAACACACAACCATCACTCGCAATCATCACTAACAAACAACACACAACCATCACTCACAATCATCACTAACAAACAACACACACAACCATCACTAACAAACAACACACACAACCATCTTCACGAGGGATAACTCACAACCATTATATACGAGCATCATACACGGACATCTCACACAAGCATCTTACGAGGTATCCTCTCACACAAGCAAACAGGGAAACTGGGATACAATGAAGGTATTTCCCTGTTTGGTACTTGTTAAACAGGTCGGGTACAAAGAATCAATCAAAGGTTGACCTATAACGTGAATATGTATAAAACGAGGTACGTATCTACCAATCTAATACAGTAGTTCCGTAAAATCATGTTCAACAATTTCAACAACCAGAATAACATTCTGTTCTTGTCACATATGTTCCTGTAATATACATCTCGTCAACGAGTGGTGTAGGGAAGGCTTCGCCCTGTTGAAAGCACACATTCGGAGACCCGTTTCGTGGCGTATTCTTAAAGCATGAATATGCTCGGCTTTACAAAGCCGGTCTGACTAGATGGTAATTTTGAACAACAATAACAACAACATGCTACCCATACATTCGCTGCTCCAATGCCCGCCATACCATGTTGTCAATGTGAAGTCAACGTGACATAAAGGGCCTCACGCATCACGCACACCCTTACATCATGCATGGCTGGTCGTCCGTCCCGGAACCTGACATACACAAGATGGCGGGGGATCTCCGTTCACTGTGTATCTATCTGTCTCTGTTATGTTACGTGTATACATCCGAGCCGGCCATTCCTCAAGGTACGTGCGTTTATATTGTCAATATTGTTGGGGGTGCTATTTTAGGACAACACTGCGCTACGTGTGAGAGCTAAGTAGCGTCTATATACATTGCATAAGGTACCTGTTTACCGGATTCAACAAATCAGTGCTGTATTGAAATTCAGCTGATGCCATTTATAACTGGTTGATAAGGTTGTAGAAGAACTTTGTTGGGCTTTAATGCGATAACGAGGTGCCGGTTTATATGCTACCTGAATCGTCGTGTATAATATGAATCAACGAGACGTAGGAAGATCCAATCCTACTACCAAAAGCCTGTCTGGTGACACTAAGCGATCCATACACAGACAATGTAGAACTCTTGATTTGCTCAACATCTTTTAAATAATGTTGTTCCAAGGAGGGGTGGCGAGGTATAGCTCACCTGGCTAGTGATCCAGAACTAGTTTAGTTTAAACATTTCATGTGATGTAAGTAACATTACTATTCTTGTTCCGGTACATTGGGACCCTACATATATGTACATAACTGCCACAACTGTACGCCTAGCTAGTCAGGCCCGTGATACACAGTCACTAACAAGACGACATAACAGTCACTGACAAGATGACACAACAGTCAATGACAAGATGACATAACAGTCACTGACACGATGAGACAACAGTCACTGACAGATGACACAACAGTCACTGACAAGATGACATAACAGTCACTGACAAGATGACATAACAGTCACTGACAAGATGACACAACAGTCACTGACACTGACACGATGACACAACAGTCACTGACAAGATGACACAACAGTCACTGACACTGACAAGAGATACAACAGTCCACAACAGTCACTGACATAACAGACAAGATGACACAACAGTCACTGACAAGATGACACAACAGTCAAAGTCACTGACAAGATGACATAACAGTCACTGACGATGACACAACAGTCACTGACAAGATGACACAACAGTCACTGACAAGATGACACAACAGTCACTGACACTGACACGATGACATAACAGCCACTGACAAGATGACACAACAGTCACTGACAAGATGACACAACAGTCACTGACACTGACAAGATGACACAACAGTCACTGACAAGATGACACAACAGTCACTGACACTGACACGATGACACAACAGTCACTGACAAGATGACACAACAGTCACTGACACTGACACGATGACATAACAGCCACTGACAAGATGACACAACAGTCACTGACAAGATGACATGATTCACAACAGTCACAAGATGAACAGTCACTGACAAGATGACACAACAGTCACTGACAAGATGACAACAGTCACTGACAAGATGACACAACAGTCACTGACAAGATGACACAACAGTCACTGACAAGATGACACAACAGTCACTGACAAGATGACACAAACAGTCACTGACAAGATGACACAACAGTCACTGACAAGATGACACAACAGTCACTGACAAGATGACACAACAGTCACTGACACTGACACGATGACATAACAGACACTGACAAGATGACACAACAGTCACTGACACTGACACGATGACACAACAGTCACTGACAAGATGACATAACAGTCACTGACACGATGACACAACAGTCACTGACAAGATGACACAACAGTCACTGACAAGATGACACAACAGTCACTGACACTGACACGATGACACAACAGTCACTGACAAGATGACACAACAGTCACTGACACTGACAAGATGACACAACAGATCAGACAAAATTAAGGAAGTGCTGATTTTATCACAATATAAATGGTGATGTAGACCATTATGTTGTATGGAGATTGTTGATATGATCCATGAGTTACCGAACAAACATGAATCATTAGCAATACACTGCTAATATCATCAGAAACATCTTGTATGGCATTTACCCACCGATGTATCGTACTGAAGAGGTGGCAATGAATATTACGTACACGGGCCCGTAACCTGATGACGATGCAAGCCAATGTATCATATTTCGCATTCATTAGCAGCCATGGAAAACATTTCGATGAACATGTTTAAAATATACTCATGCCAATAATGGTTGTCACCCCCTCCCCACCCCAACCCCCACACACCCCACATCCTAACCCACATCCCTCTCCAATAAAAAATTGAAGGGGTGACAACCATTATTGGCATGAGTATATATATACAATATATTTGGCTTGCACCTTTCTCAAATCGATCCCCATATAGTAATCATCTAGAAATAGGGCTTCCAGAAGAACAGAATCCGGATCAAGAAGGTTTTTCTGTATCTATATTTACAGAATGTCGGTTTGAAGATGCATATGACAAGAGATAAAGAATCCTGACAACAACGCCCATTTCCGCCCTCCACACACAGCAAATTCACCCCGACTCACTATCATGTATACAGAGGCACCTCCATAAACTTGTAAATATTACAAGAGTATGATCTAGATACATTAGGTTTTCCCTGCACGTTGATTGTGCTGACCTGTCGGTATGGCCCACGATGTAAAACATATACACAGGGGAGCAAAACATATATCAATGGTGTATTCTATAAAAAAAATAAAGTTTGTTCAGACGCGGTCACCTTAAGTGTGGTTTCTTAGGTAAGTTGTTACCTCGCCTCGCTCCAGTAATGATTGATTCGGGGACACCGAACACGCCTTTAGTGTTATAACAAAACAGTGTACTTTTTCTCGAGCTGAGCGTCTCGACCGGTGGAGCACAACGTGAACATATGTGCCGAGTCATGTTGGGCGCGACAGGCAGTTAAGACGATTTTCTTCAAAGCGCTTAATGATAACCCTACAGCATATTCAGTGTCAGGTAGTATTCAAGTAAACGCATAGTTAAAGGTATGTATGAGAAAACATGCAAGAAAACGTGCAGTCCAGTAAGCGTACAAGTAACCGTACCGGTAAAACATGCAAAGATTAGTACACATTTAAGTACAGGGACAAGTAAACAAATATACAAGTAAACTTGAAAGTAAAGATACAAGTACTTGAACATTAACCAAATAAGCAAACATACAAGTGAAGGTACAGGTAAAATTGCACGTAACGGTACAGGTAAGCGTACAAGTAATGGTACAAGTAAACGTACAAGTAATTGTATAAATAAATGTACAAGTAATCGTACGTAAGGTACAAGGTCGTACAAGTAAACGTACAGGTAAACGTACAAGTAATTGTATCAAGTAATCGTACAAGTAATCGTACGTAATCGTACAAGTAAACAGGTAATCGTATAAATATAGTATAAATAAATGTACAAGTAATCGTATAAATAAACGTACAAATCGTATCAATAAACGTACAGGTAAACGTTCAAGTAATTGTATCAATAAACGTACAAATAAACGTACAAGTAATCGTATCAATAAACGTACAAGTAAACGTGCAAGTAATCGTATAAATAAACGTACAAGTAATAGTATCAATAAACGTACAGGTAAACGTTCAAGTAATTGTATCAATAAACGTACAAGTAATCGTATCAATAAACGTACAAGTAATCGTATCAATAAACGTACAGGTAAACGTTCAAGTAATTGTATCAATAAACGTACAAATAAACGTACAAGTAATCGTATCAATAAACGTACAAGTAATCGTATCAATAAACGTACAAATAAACGTGGAAGTCAAGGTACAAGTATACATATTTTTTACTTTACGTGACTTTATGGGGAATATGACCCTGAATATTCCTGAGGATTATTCAGCTACCACGAAGACCACGTGTATGTCTACCACCCTACACCTCCCGGACCCCCTTCCCTTTGTGTAGCGGCTATTTGCCTGTAACTGATATCTAAAGACGTCGTTTCCTCGAATAAAACCTGTCACGCAACTTCTTCCTAGACACACTTTTGTTTGAAAGATCATACACAGAGTAACCGACATGACTTATTACAGAATGGTGACGCTTTGTTTTCAAATTGGAACACTGAAACACACATACAGAGAAACATGGAACAATCCCTTAACACATTCAGACTGGTGTGACAGCCAGATTATCTCGAACTGAGAGTATGTCGAGTGGTCCACGTGACCCTGTTATATACGTTTCCCCACTCGCTCAACGCCGTGTACCAGCATACCCTCAAGACTGCTTATTCTCTGGCGTTGTGCTGAGTTTCCGAGCTTTTGCTGATATTGTTCACAGTGTCGTCTCACGTGTACATGCAAACATACAAATTTCACAGTTCAAACAATTCGAGGTCATGCTTAGCGTGACACGATAGCAGTGTGCGAAATAGCCACTGGCCCGCTAGCCCGTAGCTAGTAAAAATACAGTCGGGTCAGTAAATCTCAACAGTCAGTGGCTTGACTGGCTAGTGATTTTCATGGGTCATTTTGTAATTATATCACTCTCCCCGACTTTTAAATCATTCAAGATTATGGCCTGTTAAAATGTTCATCATATTAGCAGCTTAATGATGAAACCCGTGTCATGCCGACAATATCTTATTCTCATCTATTTTTGTATTCTTTTGCTTAGTTTCTACATTCAAATTTCGGGCTAGCGAATTATTTTGTGGGCTAGTAACGTTCAGGCACAGCTGGCTCGACTGGCTAACAAAATTTGGGAAACTATTTGGCACACTGCACGACAGGCGCTTGAAAATAATTAATCCAAATGGAACTTTACCTGGATAATCATATCAGAACATAAAAAATACCAAACATGTAACATGGTAATTTGCTTGTGATGTGTGTTGTTGTTTCTCCCTTTGACACATTGTGCTCTACATGTTTCCTCAGTTGCCATGGATGAGAGATGTGGAAGGAGGTTTGACGTGGAGGAACCGTTTGTGTTAACACTGACGGAAAAACTGTACTACCAACCGCACATGGACTGTGACCTGACTCTCCAAGCCAGGCCAGGACATCGCATCATGCTACGTTTCATATATCTACAGATTCACACAAATAAAATGATGGAACAGTGTGAAGATTTTGTGGTTATAAATTACGGACAAAAAGACCTTTTTTTCACGTGAGTACATCTGTCAAACATAAAACAATTGACTTTGATATTGTTTTGCCCGTGTTTCCAATCACCTTCAAGGTAAGTGAAGACACAATTCTGCAGGAATTCAACTGCACTTACTATGGCGCGAGTGAGTGAGTGAGTGTGTGGGTGGGTCGGTAAGTGAGTGAGTGCGTGCGCGCGTGCGTACGTGTGTGCGTGCGGGTGGGAGGGAGGGTTATCCAGTCAATATCAATGGAAGATTGCTGACATGCACATACGATAGGCATAGTCATGGTGAGTAGCGATTCAATCGTACCGCAAGCAGGCTCTTTTGAAAATTAGATAAATAGTAATCCACATTCTTCTTCCACAGAGGTTACTTGTCATATCTTCCTACGTAACCTCTGTTCTAATACGGCCATATTTCCGGGTTCTCGTAAAATCACCTAGCGGCAAAAGATCGCAACACGAATTATCTCCCTTCTTTCTATCCAATCAGAACACGTGTTACATCGACTTAGATTCAACTTGACTAACACAAGCAAATGTGAGGCCACAAATATCCCCCATCTGGCGGGGACTTGTGTTGATGTTACACACAAGACGTTTAACGGCTAGCTTGTCCGTTGTCAACGAGGGCGATGGAGACGCCACTGATCCACCATAACATGACTGAGTTCTGTCTAGAAGAAACGTTTGCGCATCGCGCAGGGGAATAGGTTTAGTTTTCTCGAAGTATACGGAAATTACCGAGGGCCTTACGAACTCGAACGTCTTTCACCCAAGATGTCACGGTCTGATGTTTTATCTTGGTAAGAATAATTTTAAAAACGAAATTCCTTTTTTATAGAAACACATAATAATCCGTTCATTCAGTGTAATGTGTTAGCCAATCAGATCGCTGGAGGTAGTGAAGTCAAGCGCTGACGACCTAGTTTTGTATAGACACTCAGTCTTTGGCGATTTAATAAAAACCATCAAATGCATCCCCACGGAAAGCGCATGTATATGCCCCCTACACACATCGGAGATATGGACAAGAGCTTTTGATACTTGTGAGACCTTTAAAATACGATATATTCATTGACGTGTGCGTAATTGTCCGGTTTTCGATCATGTCACCATATTTCTGTGATGAACCTTTACACGTTATATAGTAGGGGGGCTGGATAGTAAACCAGGGTCACCACAAACACCACAGCCCTCCCCACCCGCCGACGCATAACACCCTCCATACAGGTTAGTAGACTCGCTACCGCTCACTCCCTCCTCCCCTCCCTCCCTCACTCACTCACTCACTCACTCACCTCACGCGCCCGCCCGCCGCCCTCCCCTCACTCACTCAAAATGACAAAACAAACAAAATTAATAAATCCAAAGAGACAATTTGCATCTCAATTATGCGTAAAATCCTAAACAGAAAGTGATAAAAGAAATCCCAACATTACATCGGTGTAGGAAAGTATATCTGCATGTTAATATCCTGGAAATCAATTTTCAAATTTCTTCATTTTACCAAAATATCACTAAATGATACACATACAAACTAGCATTACTCCGTTCTAATATTCCTTCAATCGGAAATCTCTCAATCACAACCAATGAATGTTTACTGAAAATACATGTATTCTGAATCATCATATCTTTCCTTTGTGTTGATCAGGACGTTGTTACAGTGGCGAGTTCAGATGTAGCAACGGCAGGTGTATCGACAGCAGCATGTACTGCAACAGCTACAACAACTGTGGGGACAACAGCGACCACTGCGACAATTCGGACGTGAACTACAGCTCGACTATCTACATGTCCGCTGCCATCATCCTATGTCTGATTCTGCTAATTGTCATCGTCGCCATGTGCTGTTGCTGCGCCAAGTCGTCCCGGAAACGTCGCAGGAGACGGGTATAGACTTTAGACTCTTCATATCCTAGCACTGGGTGGTTAACGGCCTGTATCTGTGTGTAGCGTGCAACTATTGTTGTATGTCGCTATGTCTCACCTGAGTTGTGTCCCTTCGAGTTTCAGAATCCTGTGTTGGAGTGTTCGAATCATGTATTTCTTGGTTAGTCAACTCCATACGCATGGATTTATGAAGTTTAAATATGTCAGACCTACCTCACTTGCAAGTTCCTTCCTTCGGGATTACACTGGGACTTTACGTAAATACTGTTACAGAGGCGTTGAACCCAACACTTGGGCTAGTGGTTACGCCTTCTTAAGGCCATGTACACCTTCATACGGAGCTGTACAGGAGAAGGTGATATTTGCAGGAGAACAATGTATAACATTCCCACCCACACTCACAAAACACAATATGTGTGTGTATGTGCATGTGTGTGTCAATGTACGTATGTAACAGTGTGTGCCTCTGTGTGTGTGCGTGCGTGCGTCCTTGTGTGTGTGTGGTTGTGTGTGTGCCTATGTGTATTTGTTTTGTATGTCCACGCATGAGTGTATGAATGCGTGAGTGATTCTTCATTCTAGCTGTAACCGTTCCCACTCCGTCATGTGTTGATGTTAACCCTGTGCTTGCGCTTCCATGTGGTCATTGTTGTTTACATTCGTCATTTCAGAGGAGTAGGTTAGCAAGACGTTCACGGCAACAGGCCCAGGAGCGGTGCGAAACGTATGATAACCCTGCTGGAGTTTTCACCCTCAATGACCTCCCCCCGTACGTAGACATCCCCTCCTACCCTCCCCCGGCCTACTCCACGCTACCCCGGATACACGCCCAGTCCGAGCGTAGCGGCACCACGGCGGAGGCAGCTTTTGACGGGACCGCAGTCCCTGTTGACGAAGTGACAACCATACCTCGAGATATACCTGTGGAGGAGACTAGGACACCTGTAAACACACCTAAGGAGGGTACAGCTGCATATGCGTGTAAATCTGATGCCGCTGGAGACACATCTGAAGGGGGAACCGATACATATAAGTCCATGTCTAGTGCACGTGGAGAAACACCTGAGGATGGTACACCTGGACAAACACCCGATAGGGATATATCTAATAGTACACCTGGAGGTACCTGAGGTACACCTGACGATAAACCTTATTATGAAACAAAGACATCTAGATGAGACATCTAAATGAAAATATGCAGTGCAATCATAATGTTTTCATCTTTATTCGTGATTTGTATTTAACAAGATGAATTCCCATGTTAATGTGAAGCAACTTATTATTAATGACGTGACAACGTTAACGTTAAGCCAATTAATGCCAACTGCAATAATTAACCTTTAACATGTGCAATATACAATGCTTGTTATCTTACCTCACACATAAATGTCGCTTTCTGATTGGCTGAGCGCTCTACTATTATTTTCAATGTACCCCGCTTACAAGCGAGTAACATTTCAATGTACCCGGCTGTCAATGGCAACTCATTTGGTACTTCGTGATATTAATTCTTTCATCTATTGCATCACGGCTGATGTACGGAAATTACCGATGTTTTTTGTGAATGCAAATTGATGGAAGGGGATAACTCTAAATCCGTTTTTCTTGTCAGCAAAATAGCGATGGCTGCAAAAAATCTGCTTCAAACTCCAAAATTAACATTAAGGTGCGATAAGATAAATACATTGCTTCACGTACCTTCGATGTTTGTTTATGTTCCCCTCGAGGGATGCATCATGCACGCACGCACGCACGCATACATACATACATACGTAAGATTATGTGTTTGTATGCGCTATTTATGTTGTAAATAAAAGGGTTGTTGTTATTTGTATACTAGAAACGTTCATCTGCGTTCAAGTGTTTGACCTCTGGGTCAGTTGTGTTCAGCCAGCAACGCAGCTGTATAACTCCGGCCTGCGATGTTTGAACCAGATACACCAGTGACTGGCACCAGCATCAGGTTTTGCTGTATGGTCCAAGGCGCTGGGGTTCCGTGGCATGCAGTCAGCCTGGGCCCTGTTTCACAAAGCTCTCGTAAGCCTAAGATCTCGTAACTTTCGCATTCGTTCTTCCTATACTGTAACATTGACTTACGATAGTGGTAGCGCTACGAGAGCTTTGTGAGACGGGGTCTAGGCCACCATGCACAACGGCATGTAGTTAAGTCAGAAGCAATACCCGCGGAATCACAACTGTTGGTGTTGTGAAGAAGAATTCACAAGAGCATAGTGCCGTCCAGTCATAGCCGAACAGCCCCTGTTGTCGGACCATTCAGCAATATTCCAGCTATATGGCGGCGGTCTGTAAATGATCGAGTCTGGACCAGACAATCCAGTGATCAACAGCATGAGCTTCGATCTACATAATTGGGATATGGTGATATATGGGGATATATGTGTCAACCGAGTCAGCGAGCCTGACCACCCGATCCCGTTAGTCGCCTTTTATGACAAGCATGGGTTGCTGAAGATCAATTCTAACCCGATCTTCACGGGTGCTAGTTCCAGTAGACGAGCGAGTAAATCAAACTTAAGAGTGATGAATTATTAGTCAGAAACTGGAAACAGTGGAATTTTCAATGAAGTCGCTGAAAAAATATATCAATGACCAAAAATAGTCAGACTGAAATATCTCCAGAGATGTGAACTATAAGCCCAATGTTAAAGAGTAAAGTTGATTAGTTACAACTATGATATTATTGTTTTGAGACTCATAGAGATGTATAATTACATTTCCTAACAATGTTGGAAGTGCACGTACAATCTCCAAAACAAATCCGCAAGATCGTCCCAAATACTAATTCAATTTGACCCATGAGTGCCGTTATGTCAACAAAAGCAAGTGCGTGTATTTGATTCTCTCACCGTCCATGGCATTATCCTTACTAAAATCTACACGAGGCAACATAGTTCTGTTAGCTACGTTCTTTGTACTTTCAATGTGACGATATATATTTTTGTGATTTTTTATACAAGGACACAATGCCATAAGCGATTTAAGTACTGGGGAGTATTTTCATCAAAGTACCACAATCATTACGCGCGTTTTGACTGGTTTGTCGTATTTTCGGACATAACTGGCATCGAGACGAGGGGGTCTTCTTGGAGGTTACGGAAAGGGCGAGTGGTGACGAACAGAGACTTACAGGCCCGATTGTAACTGTATTTATGATGAATGCAACCGACAACAATTTAATGAGGCGCTCATAAAACATCAACTATTCTGTTTTTAAATGGTGACACCACACGGCTTTGGCGTGTTTACGTGTAGACCAAGATACAGAGTGACCTCCCTTGTATGTTTGTGTTATTACAATAATTACTCCATCCGACGCTTGACATCCATCATCCCTACCCTCCCGGGGGTATAAGAGGCCAATACGAGGAGCTCACTCTGTCGTCACTTCCGCCCACTCTCAGTCGCTTCAAGGGTGTATCTCTATGCCTACTATGAAGATTCGTGGCGCCGCAAGCATGACCTTGCCTGTCTACATGCCAAGTATAGACAAGAAAGTCATCGGAAACACCAACTGTTCTGACTGTTCTGACCAACTGTTCTGACTGTTCTGAACAACTGTTCTGACTGTTCTGACCAATTGTTCTGACTGTTCGATCGCTGAACACTGGAACACCTGGATCTGTATCAACTAACGAAACACCTGGATCTGTATCAACTGACGGAACACCTGGATCTGTATCAACTAACGGAACACCTGGATCTGTATCAACTGACGGAACACCTGGATCTGTATCAACTGACGGAACACCTGGATCTGTATCAACTAACGGAACACCTGGATCTGTATCAACTAACGGAACACCTGGATCTGTATCAACTAACGGAACACCTGGATCTGTATCAACTAACGGAACACCTGGATCTGTATCAACTAAATGGAACACCTGGATCTGTATCAACTAACGGAACACCTGGATCTATATCAACTAACGAAACACCTGGACCTGTATCAACTAACTTGGAACACCTGGATCTGTATCTACTAACGGAACACCTGGATCTGTATCAACTAAAGGAACACCTGGATCTGTATCAACTAACGGAACACCTGGATCTGTATCAACTAACGGAACACCTGGATCTGTATCAACTAACGGAACACCTGGATCTGTATCAACTAACGGAACACCTGGATCTGTATCAACTAAGGGAACACCTGGATCTATGTCAACTAACGGAACACCTGGACCTGTATCAACTAACGGAACATCTGGATCTATGTCAACTAACGGAACACCTGGATCTGTATCAACTAACGGAACATCTGGATCTGTATCAACTAACGAAACACCTGGATCTATGTCAACTAACGGAACACCTGGATCTATGTCAACTAACGAAACACCTGGATCTATGTCAACTAACGAAACACCTGGATCTATGTCAACTTACGAAACACCTGGATCTATGTCAACTAACGAAACACCTGGATCTATGTCAACTAACGGAACACCTGGATCTGTATCAACTAACGGAACATCTGGATCTGTATCAACTTAGGGAACACCTGGACCTGTATCAACTAACGGAACACCTGGATCTGTATCTACTAACGAAACACCTGGATCTATGTCAACTAACGAAACACCTGGATCTATGTCAACTAACGAAACACCTGGATCTATGTCAACTAACGGAACACCTGGACCTGTATCAACTACCTGGAACACCTGGATCTGTATCAACTAAAGGGAACACCTGGACCTGTATCAACTAAGGGAACACCTGGATCTGTATCAACTAACGGAACACCTGGACCTGTATCAACTACCTGGAACACCTGGACCTGTATCAACTAAGGGAACACCTGGACCTGTATCAACTACCTGGAACACCTGGATCTGTATCAACTAACGGAACACCTGGACCTGTATCAACTACGTGGAACACCCTGATCTGTGTCAACTACCTGGAACACCTGGATCTGTATCAACTAACGGAACACCTGGATCTGTATCAACTAACGAAACACCTGGACCTGTATCAACTAACGGAACACCTGGACCTGTATCAACTAACGGAACACCTGATCTGTATCAACTAACGAAACACCTGGATCTGTATCAACTAATGGAACACCTGGACCTGTATCAACTACCTGGAACACCTGGATCAGTATCAACTTACGGAACACCTGGACCTGTATAAACTAAGGGAACACCTGGATCTGTATCAACTAACGGAACACCTGGATCTGTATCAACTAACGGAACACCTGGACCTGTATCAACTACCTGGAACACCTGGACCTGTATCAACTAAGGGAACACCTGGACCTGTATCAACTACCTGGAACACCTGGATCTGTATCAACTAACGGAACACCTGGACCTGTATCAACTACGTGGAACACCTGGATCTGTGTCAACTACCTGGAACACCTGGATCTGTATCAACTAACGGAACACCTGGATCTGTATCAACTAACGAAACACCTGGATCTGTATCAACTAACGGAACACCTGGATCTGTATCAACTAACGGAACACCTGGATCTGTATCAACTAACGAAACACCTGGATCTGTATCAACTAAAGGAACACCTGGACCTGTATCAACTACCTGGAACACCTGGATCTGTATCAACTTACGGAACACCTGGACCTGTATAAACTAAGGGAACACCTGGATCTGTATCAACTAACGGAACACCTGAATCTGTATCAACTAACGGAACACCTGGACCTGTATCAACTACCTGGAACACCTTGATCTGTATCAGCTGACGAAACACCTGGACCTGTATCAACTAAGGGAACACCTGGACCTGTATCAACTAACGGAACACCTGATCTGTATCAACTAACGAAACACCTGGACCTGTATCAACTAACGGAACACCTGGATCTGTATCAACTATCTGGAACACCTGGATCTGTATCAACTAACGGAACACCTGGATCTGTATCAACTAACGGAACACCTGGATCTGTATCAACTAACGGAACACCTGGATCTGTATCAACTAAAGGAACACCTGGATCTGTATCAACTAAAGGAACACCTGGATCTGTATCAACTACCTGGAACACCTGGATCTGTATCAACTAACGGAACACCTGGACCTGTATCAACTAAAGGGAACACCTGGATCTGTATCAACTAACGGAACACCTGGACCTGTATCAACTAACGGAACACCTGGATCTGTATCAACTAACGGAACACCTGGATCTGTATCAACT